GAAATAGATAAAGAAGGCATAACTATCAAGGAGCCAACCTTGATTGTTAAAGCATTTCAAAACTACTACTTAAGCATTTTTGGCAAGGCTATTCACACAGGCAATGAAAAGGATGTAGATAACTTGTTATCATTGATGCCTGCACTTAGTGAAGATGATAAAAAGATCATAGAAGGCCCTATAACTTTAGATGAAGTCGGGGCCGCAATAGACTCTCTTCAAAATGGCAAAACACCAGGACCCGATGGGCTTAGTGGAGAGTTTTATAAGAAATACCGAGACAAACTATGTCAAGTGTTACTTGACGTTTTTCATAACTCCTATCAATGGAAGACGCTTCCACCATCTTTTTACGACTGCCATACTGTCCTAATACCCAAGACGGAAGACGTGGAACTGAGAAAAAAAGTTGAAAATTATAGACCAATATCACTTTGCAATGTAGATTACAAGATCTTTGCTAAAATATTGAATGACAGACTCCAGCTAGTAATCGAAAACCTTATTGGTGAGCACCAAACATGTGGTATAAAAGGAAGAAGTATTCAAACCAATATCCACATTGCGCGCTCGGTTCTCGAGTGTGCCTCTGACAGTAACACACAAGTTGCTTTGACACAAATTGACTTGTCAAAAGCCTTTGATCGAGTGAGCCACGCATTTTTGTTTGCACTCCTACGCCACATCAACGTAGGCGAAACAGTGTCCGAAGGCATTAACTTATGTTATCATAATAGCACTACAAGATTAATTGTGAACAACATGCTTTCCGATAAAATACACATAAAAGCTTCCGTTCGCCAAGGCTGTCCATTATCACCTCTTCTCTTCGCCATATATCTGGAACCTTTGTGTCGGAGCATATTTGCAAGTCAGAGTATTCAAGGATTTGCACTTAATAATGTTGAGGTAAAGGTACTCGCTTATGCCGATGACGTTGCCGTCTTCTGTGCTGATAAAAAGAGTGTGGAAGAGGCCATACACGTTACGGAACATTTCTGTAGTGTTACTGGAGCATCAATGAACCCGGGAAAATGTAATGGATTTTGGTATGGTTCATGGGCTACCACGCCCCGCTTTTTTGCCGGTATTGCATGGAATCGTGGTCCGCTGAAATACCTGGGAGTTCCACTCTCGCACATCAGGAGTAGCTCATCGTACTGGACGTCAATGGAAACCTCGTTGAGGAGGAAAGCCGAAGCATGGAAAGGACGTGACATGTCCATGTTCACCAGGGCAAACGTGTGCAACGTGTTCCTAGTGTCTAAGCTAATGTATGTACTTCAGGTAATGCATTGTGCGCGTAAAAACATTCAAAAATTTCATCGAATTTTCGCGACCTTTATCTGGCGTTCGTCGTGGGAGCCTCTCAAAAGGGACAACCTCTTCCTTCCCCTGGAAGCAGGTGGACTAAGTCTGTGTCATCTATTTGTTCGGCAATTAGTATCCCGGTTTTTTTTCTTTAAGAATGCCGACCATCCCTTCCTCAAAACCGTTCTTCAGTTACGACTGGCCACAAGTTTAAATTATTTAATTGTGTCCAGTGATGATTCGTTTCAGGGAAGACCTTGGGGCTTCCTAAAAGAGGTTGTGGACACGATTGAATTCTTGAAGGCACGTTTCTCATTAGAATATTTATTTAGTGTAACACGCAAGAAACTATCAGCGGCGATAATCGAAAGCATTTTTCCTATCCCGCTTTACCGAAGTCACTTTCCTGTCGATCCCCAAGATGATGTCCTTTACAGAGTAAAGAAGATGTCTGTTCCACCGTCAACCAAATCGTTCTTTTTCAAACTGCACACTTCGACCTTGCCCGTTAAAACTTGGCTTCATAGTAGAGGGATATTTGTGCCGTGGACGGTTAACTGTAGACTATGCAACAAGCCAGAAACCATAGAACACTGCTTCATTTACTGCAATGACGCCTTTTTTTTCTGGGATGTGCTTCAACGAACACTAAAGAAAGACCTCGACATCACTGATCAAACTATTCGTTTCCTTCCATTCTCAAAAGGGGAAAGTGTTCCTTACGACATATTCGTTATTTTAGGCCTCCACAGTTTGTGGAGATGTAGAATGATAGATAGAAACGCAGAAGCGCCACGCACCACAAAATCTATTTTTGTGGAGAATATGGCTCAGCTGCGCAGTGTTTACGCGGCACAGCCATCCCAGCCTGATTGGTTTCCACTGTTAGATGCCTGCATAGGTCTACCAGATTTTTGAACATTTTGCTTGTTTGCCCATTGTCAACCCCTCCGTGATTTATGTATATAGCACTGTGATACTAAGGACTTTAGATGGGTTCTGAGTGTCATTAGGTTTTGAAAGATTTGATTATCATTTGTTTAGTGTGTAATAATCTAATCAAGACATCAGCGTGAAAGAGGCCTATTGTTGACTGTATATTGAGTGTTCTCTGTAAATAGCATTTCATCTTTATATGTATATTACTATGCTCGTTTGCCTGTTTGAATGTTTTTTGGCTGATGTGCTCTCTCTTGTTCTATAACTTCCATGTAATAAAGAAAAAAAAAAAAAAAAATGTCCGAGTAGCTCAGTCGGAAAGACGTTCGCTTCACACGCGGTAGGACCGGGATCAATCCCCAATAAAACTTTCTTTTTTTTTTTTTTCAAAATTTTTTTTTATGTTTACATTTTTTTCTTTTTTATATATATATAATTATCACTGAAGAAACAAACACGAAAATAACAAACAAATGTTGTGGACGACACGTCGCTGAATTAAATGGTATGGGATCTCCTTTTTGACACCTGCGAACTCAATGTAATCACTTTCCACAAAATGCAAGAGGCATATAAATCAGGTAGCGTCCGCTTTCCGAGGTGCCCGTAACTGTTTTGCAGGAATTGCAGCCAGCCATTGGTCCCGATCCCGTTGATCTTTCGGAAACTCTGTCGCACAATGCCACTTTTTTTCGGACGCAGGACATGTGAGCCAGCTCTTCACGCAACATCTAACATCTTGGGTGTATTCTTTTCGGAGCCGATCATGGAAATTCACCACGGGGACTCACTACTCATCTCCAACTCCTCAATGTACAAAACAACTCATCTTGGACTACAGAACAGCGAGCGGAACAAACATAACTGCAAAAGAATCGCGCGGCAAACAGTTCCCACTACGCCGCGGGTCGTCTGCTACAAAAAGGAAAAGGAAGGAAAAAAAAAAAATTGCACGGTCGGGTGTAGCCACGTGACTTCCGCCACTCCACTCTCTTCTCTCCACTTCTCCGACCTCCGTCGGGTTTCGGTTTCGGTTTCGAGCAGTTGCGCCTTTTGGATTTATTAAAAAAATACGCTACTCTGTTGCAAAATATTAATTGGGTAGTCCTCCGACACCATAATGAAGCGCCTGGCGAGAAATGAAAAAAATATTTTGGGGGGTGTCAGTGTCCCTTTAAGGGCTAGTTTCCTTAGTATCGTGTCCATCAGCAAACAAATGTCGACACAAAACTCTAGAAGGCTACCGCCATCTATAAGTGATGGCAGCAACCAGGCAACTGGGTTGTCTGGTTGCCACTGTCGCTTGTAGATGGCGGCAACCTTTTTAGCCTTTCCACTCTGGTTTTCACCAGTGGAAAGGCTGAATTTCTCCAAGCGTGGTCCTCGAGGTTGTCCAAGAAGTCGTCTTAGGCATCGTCCTTGAGGTCGTCCAAGAGGTTGTCCTCGAAATCGTCCCAGAAGTCCTCCTTGAGGTCGTCCTAAAAGTCGTCATTGAGATTGTCCTAGACGTTGTCCTCGAGGTCGTCCTTGAGGCCATTCTAGACGTTGTCTAGGAGGTCGTACTAGGCGTCATCCTCGAGGCCGTCCTAGAAGTCCTACTTGAAATCGTCTAGACATCGTCCTCCAAGCGTCGTCCTTGAGGTCGTCCTACACGTCGTCCTCGAGGTCGTCTTTCAGGTTATCCTCGAGGTCATCTTTGAGGTTGTTCTCGAGGTCGTCTTTGAGGTTGTCCTCGAGGTCGTACTTGGGGTCGTCCTTGGCGTTGTCCTCAAGGCCGTCCCAGAAGTCCTACTTGAAATCGTCGTAGACATCGTCCTCCAAGCGTCGTCCTTGAGGTCGTCCTAAACGTCGTCTTTGAGGTTGTCCTCGAGGTCGTACTTGAGGTCGTCCTTGGCGTTGTCCTCGAGGTCGTCCTAGAAGTCCTACTTGAGGTTGTCCTAGATGTCGTCCTCTAGGCATTGTCCTACACGTCGTAGAGATAACAGCTTTGCTTCACGTGAAGTGGGAGGGCTCTACATTTTTTTTTTCTTTTTTAAAGAGATTGGTAAGCTTTTATACCCAACCTCGGAAGTTGTGTATAATACTGGGAAAGCCAAGGACACGAGTGCATGGTCCTTGACGGAGCCGAATTTCACAAAGGCAAATTTGGGGGACATACTTCAAAGTCGGGAGTTGTACTTTTCCCAGAAAGTACCAGAAAAAAATACTTTTAAGTACAAGTACATACTAAGATAAGGTACAAATTAAAATTTTCTAAACCCACTTAAAGTAGTACTTTAAGCACAATGTACTTAAAGAACTTCCCAACACTGGTTCTACTGCACACAAAATAAGGAGGACACTTCTGAAAGCTGGCAACTTGAGCTCCCAGCCCAAGTTTGTTAAAAACAAAACCAAAAGTTGTATTGGGAACTACGACGAAACGTTTTCCAGATTTCTTTCCGCTCCTTAGTCTTGGCTGCCAGATTAGTTTTTACCGCGTTCACAAAAACCAACTGCAGTGCCACTAACTGTACTAAAAAAACAAAGGTGTGATGCTGTTAAAATAGATGTAGCTGCTTATCTTTTCCGACATAAGACACAACACCTGGCGGCCCAAGTGTGAAGCTGTGAACGCAAGCCATGAGAAGTTTTACTGGTGGGACAAACTAGGCTGCATGTGGTTTACTTTGTCATTTCAAGCATAATGGTAGTAAATGCTCAACAATAGCACATCCATTCAAACTCAAAATCACACACAAAAAAGCACATTCATTCTAACATCTCTTTTATTCATTGGTTCAACTTACGATATACAGAGCGAGTGTAAAAGCAACGAGTGCACAATTATATTATCATGGAAGGGAATTGGCATCGAAGACTGAGTACTTGGTCACGTTAGCTGCATGCACTACTACAACAAAACTGCCTGTAAATAAGCAGAATTAAAGGATCAAGCTTGAAAACAGTACTTGTTTGAATTGACAGCAAGACACACATATAGTATACCTCAAAATTAAACAATGGGAGTGGTGGCACATTCATCGACAAATGTCCTGTCCTGTTCTGGTTATATTATTCCTCTCAGCTTTATTGTGGTCCCAGTGGTTGGGGTTCACCAAAAGGTATAGCCTGCTCCACCAGTTCCACTGAGGAAGGTGGACTTCTTCTGCCCCAAGACCACCTGATTTCCTTGCATGGCCGCAAGCTGAGCTGCATTGGGCATCACTCCCGGGGGTGGAGGCTGAAAGAAGAAACCATGGTAAAATGAGTCCAATATCAAGATATGAAGCAAGAATCTGGGCAAACTGAAGGATAAGTTCACTGAACTTCCCAAGAAGTCAAAACAATGACACAATAAAAATAATTCATGTTCGTTATCCCCATTTCATTTAGACTGAAAGTAATGTTTGAGTAATGTTTGATTTTAATGCTTTGCGTCTTAAGGTGAAGTAAAAGTAAACAACACAATAGATATAAAGTTACATGGGCTGCTTCTAAATAACCTTGTTTAAGTGGCCATCACGTACCACAGCCTGAAAATTTAACAATTTTATTGAGGTGCAAGGATGGCAGCATAGACTAGTAAAATACAATTTCTGCTGTCGTTTAGTAGTATGATCAATAATAACCATAAATAACATCAGCATGCTCCTTATATCTTGAACAGATTGCTCCTGTTTTTTCTTCTAAATGCCCTGCTCAGGCAAGGCAAAGCAAAAAGTAGACGTTTGTGTTTAGATGACATGAGGTTGGTCTGCCTTTAAAGTGTGGCAACACTGGTTTACGCTGCAGATGAGAAAGTTAACCAGTGCAGTACGACTGCTAACCTGGAGTCCTTAAAGTGCATCATGCAGCAGTGATACACGACTGCACACCACTATGATGCTCATCGAGATCGAAGCGGGGAGAAGCAGGGACTGAACCCAGGATTCCTGGGTTTTGCAGCGCAAGATTTTATTCCACATGCTCCAAGCTGGGTTTAGCTCACGAAGCACAAGAATCATCTTGGCTCGTTTGTGAGCTGATCTGCCTCAGTGCAGTTAATGGTGGCCCGATAATGAGCCTAGTCATTCTGCAGTGTCACCGTGGTATTGCCTTGCCAATCTAAATGCCTGAAGATCAAACGACCACAATGCCTCCTCCATCTCGGCTAATTCCATCGGTCCAATGCAGACGTGTGCCTCTGTGCCTGATTTCTCCTAGAGCCACCGTATATGGTTGCTTTACATGCTAAAGAATGACATGAGGCGATGTTATACTGATGCATGACACTAGAAGTAATAGTGACTTCCATTGTGGCCTTGAAAATGCACCGTGGCAATAGGCGCCTAGTGGCATTTACCAGCTAGCTTACGTGTATGGTTCAGTATTTTTAGGGTAGGTATATTTTTATTTAAATCATAAACATTTCTTTGGTTTTTTGTTTTTTTTTTACCAAATTTGGTGCTTATTTTTAGTGTCGACCAAAAAGTGGCATTTATCGGGGCGTGTGTTGAAGAACACACGATATAGCCAAGGGTTCGTAACTTTTGAGGAACATGTGCACGACCTGAACACCGGAGAACATCCCGGTAAAGATGAGAGAAGGAAATGCGATAAGGGGTGGACAGATTAGTGCGGGCTGTGTTCCGAATCAGCAGAAAATAAAGCTTTAGATTAATATTCTTTCGGCTCTAATTTGAAGCTTTGCGTTTCTCCCATTTCCATAAAACCGGCTTAGGGGTTGCTTTTTGGGGTTCACCCCTATACACTAAAAAATGAAACCAGATTTACGAATTTCATTTCTCTATTTATTTGACCATGTTGATTTCAAGTTGGGGCACAATGATACAAATATAGAATGGATCCATTATAAAACAGAGCGCACGAAATACAGGGGTCAAAGGGAGACAAATGTGACAGACGAGCACATAAGTGTCTTCCTTTGGTTCCTGTTTATTGTGTGTTTTGTTTTACAATAAACCAGTACCAGCTAGCTGAGCTTTCAAAACTTTTATAGGATGAATCATTGAACTTGAGCAGAGAAGCTGCTCAAGAATGAAATCCACATAAAACTTTGTGCTTTGGAAAGCCCTCTCGAAAAGAAATGCTGGGACGAGCAGACAACGCCCAAATTTCGTTTTAGCAGGCTTAACAGTTATTGACGCAGTTGTCATGGAAACCAAGCCAGTTCGAACAATAAATACAATATTTTTGGACCAATCATAGCAAGAGGTGGCACAGGGTAAAGCACAGTGTTACTCTGGCAGCTACTATGATCTCAAAACTTCTGGGATGCAGAAAACCACGAGAAAGCTCTGCGGCGAGCAGATGAGATTGGCAGGAGCACAAGTAACACAACGGTTGTCCTGCATCTCATTGCAGCTCTACTGTTCAGCTACTCCCGTGGAGGCTGAACTCACTTCGGGATGGACTCGTACCTCTCTTTTGCATGAGAAGCCAAAAAGTTCTCTCCCAAAAGGAATGTCAAGCTAAGCCGCTAGAATGGGTGGCAAGTTATCGCCACTAGCTCCCACAGATGGATCTTATGACCGTTGAAAAGGTGTGCCACACTCTGATCTCCTTGGTCATGAAGGTTTTGCTGCTTTCTTTTTCATTTATTTCCATAAGGTGAACTCAGAAACGGGCTAACTTCACCCCTGAGCAATGCAAATCAGAATTTAGTTCTCCGATTTCTAAATGCCATGGAATCGCATTTTGACAACATGCAACAAAAACTAAGGCGAATGTTTACTAAGGTGATCTGTATGTTTTAGCTCATTCGCTTGCTAATAATTACTTTGAACTTGTACCCTGATGTTTGCCGTGATCAGTAACGTCGTTCCAAAGAGATAATATCTTTAATTCATGTGTCCTTTTCTCATTATCTTCAGTCACACACTAAACTCCATGTATATATGCCGAAACTTGAAAATAACTAAGAACCTCATTGATATGTTTTTCAGGGAACCGGGAAAATAAACCATAAAACCCGAAAAAATATACGGAATGAGAATACCATTCAGGGAGTGCGCTAGGGATGAGACAGATAGCAACTGTCACGAAACAATTTATTTTAAGCAAACATTCGTAAGTGTGAATTCAAATTGGCTCATAAAAAGTTTGTACACATTCATAGGTGGAAACTTAAGTAAACATACTGTAAAAGTATGTCCAGAAAAAGCTTCTAAATATTTGATGGTGTGAAGTCAAATACATTCAGAAAAGCTTGTAATTTCCACCTGGCGCTTTTGGTGAGTGAAACGCAGGCTAGTTGCTTGGCTGCGCAAGACGAGGGAGAGCGAACACCCAATCTGTGTGAACGCGCTTAGACGCAGACAATCTGCGAACGTGTCATCACGTGATCAACCTGTCTGCGAATCGGTAAGATCCAGGAAAGCAGATGAAGCGGGTGGGAAATTAATATGTGCATTCTTACGAGAGCACAGCGGGACCGGCACTTCTGAACGTAAAATCCAGGAACATATCGAGGTTCCACTGTACCTAGGAATATTCTATACATCTGTATCATGGCTACGGTGCTATTTCTGCACTTTTAGCAACCCGAAGAACAGTTTAGGTTACATTAAGTTGTACATTTAAGGCCATGACTTAACTCATTTGCTTTGTGGTCGACTGTAGGAAAAGTCTTTCAGAGGTAGGGATGGTAGCCCAGCTAGAATATGTGGGTGGAAAATATTATTACTGAAAGAAATCTAAGTTTTGTCTAGTTTTGTCTTTTGTTTTTTTCTTTCCCCCAGTTCTTTCAAAAACATGCTTCATTCAAGTCTCAAAAGATTGTGGCCATGCATCACTCCAGAATGTCACAGCCAACTCACATGAATCGTAAATATAGCCTAGGTACAGTGTGTTAAGTGTTGTACAGTAGGTAACCCCTCATTATAACAAAGTCAACAGGAGGGCAAAAAAATTTGATATAAGCAGAGATTCTATAAAAGCGATAAAACCAAAAAAAAAAAAAACAGCGCCAGCGGCTTTGAAGGTGGACAGGAACACTGCAGAACACTGTGACCATATATTTAATCAAACAACCCTTGGTTATGAACATCCCGTGGCAGCTTTACCGAGTAAAAAAATAATTAGGTGGAGTTTGCTGATAATTTCATCCAGACATCAGTTCTACTCGAACTGCTCCAGGCACTGCAAGAATGCGTCACCGCTGCTGCAGTTCACTTTGTTTTGAAGAAGCTGTAGAATGTTTCGTGTTTCCGCAGTCGTGGGCGTTTCCCGAGATGCCTCTCCGACGTCCCTTTGTGTTTACCCAGGCCGCACGTAAAGTCTATGATCGCAGCATCCGTGGCAGAGCAACAACAGGAATGTCTGCATCGATAAGCGCAACCGAATCAACGTTATCGTCGGTGGCTTTGCCAACATGTTTTCACACACTCCTGTAGAGATTGTTGCAGGTATGGAAATCGTGCGCCGGCTTTGCAAGCATGCTCACGAGAAAAAATATGACGTGCGCAAAGCAGTTGGTGATCTTTCATCTTTGGGTTGCAGGCTCGCTTTCTCTTGCATGAGAAACTTCCCAAACCAGTCCAATATGCCTTGCTTGTTCTGCAAAATGGTGGACAGTGTTGAACAGCCAATGCCAGAATGCTGAATTCTTTGGCGATTTCGGACTTGGGCTGGTCACTTTTCTCAACCTCAAGCGACTTTCGGTAAACGCTCCTAATCCTCCCATATGACGCACGTAAGCATGTACTAGCAGTATTGCAGAATGGACACCCCCCCCCCCCCTCCCCCCATTTCCTTCCAATTCCATTCTTTTCAACTTCTTGGAATGGAGACACTGAGTCCATTCCCACTCCTGGAATGGCTGAACTCAACAAATTCTATTCCTCCAATTCCTAAACGTGAAAAAAAGGGCCACTGACAGACACATTGCGTTACTAGAAAAAAAGTAGCATAAAGCTGCTGTCATCAGACGCAGAGATGACTGATAATGTATGCAAAAGCTTCCTCGAAGCCCTCTTTTTTCTAATCCAAAGGGTAATCGTACAAAGTGCCTCGTGGCACTTGGTGTCACTGCAGACATTGATCGCGCGATCAAATGTAAAAAGCCAACAAGCCGATTTTTTTCGCGAACAGACCGTGAGTGCTCCACAGATTACATGGTTAGCGTGTTGTCTGTGTGATAAGGTCTTAAAAATATCTAGTTTGTGCATGGCACAAGAAGCTATCTTGCTCCGGGCTTCGAGCACTTGCACAACAGCACCACTAGTGCGCTGTTAGAAGCAACAACGCGTATGCCTGCCCCAAATGACTGCGGCAAGAACAGAAAACCATTGACAAAGTGCAATCAGTGCACGGCGCCAGCACAAGCGACTGTATTATGAAACCTGCCTTAGAACGTTAACTTTTATGTTTGCTGTAAAATTCTTACAATTTCTTAACATATTCATACCAACTTTTTATTTGTGTTCCTCGCAAACACTAGAAGATAAGCTGGTTAAAGTTAAAAGCAGGGAGTCGAGCCAGTCAATATTCTGGTTCGATTCGGGTTCTGGTTCAGTAGCTTTGCATTTTGTTCCAGTTCGGTTCTACAGGTTCGATAATGCTTTTGAAACAACGGTTCAGTTACCGGTTCCACCAAGCGCAAATCAGTTCAAACCGGTTCCAAAAAAAATATCTACATCTAGTCGTAAAAAAGGAAAGCCGAGTTCAACACAATGTCATCCGCATTTAAAAAAAAAAGTGAAAAAAAGAAGCTCATCAGAAGTTGTGTAGTGAAAGTGAGGACAGCCGAACAAATACTACTTATATGCTTAATTTCGTTTTGCGGTCTTGACTTTTTCATGCAAACACAGTTTTATGAAAATTGTGTGGTTATGCAGGTGCTTGAAAACTATTAAAGTACAGTACTCACATGTTAAGTTAATCAGCCAGCCCTTCTCTTCCAATACCACGACCAGCACAGATTAAAGCCAAAAAAAGGTGCACCCAGAAAGCAGAACACTCTGATGAGTAGTACTTGACAAGACTAACATCTCTTTTCGAGACTGGACACGAGCCTTTGTTTTTCTCACATGAAAACATTCACACCGATTCTTTACCACCCATAATCCAGTGCTTTAGAATGCAACTCATGCAGTACTTGTGCAACGTGACGCAGTGAAGCCCCACCCTCTAAAGACGTCAGAGTCGTTTGGCATGTCGCAAGCTCTTTGCAACTAGTCCCAGCGACCAAACTTTGCTGCAAAAGCTGCACTTGGAGCAGAAAATGATTCTGAAGCACAAAATCTTGTTCAACATGTACCACACAAAGTGGCCATCAAAGCATAAGCTCCCACTTTCTCTTAAACCTTATTAATCAGACAAAAGTGCCATAACTATTTGTGATGAATTAGCATAACTAAAAAGAGGTTGGTCTGGTAATCCAAGAAGCCTTTGAAAAAAGGTGCTGGCGTGCATCCACGAGTAATACCAGGGGGTCATCTGCTGCCTCGCCAAGGCTTGGAAGTATATCATAAGCATTACTGCAAAATTAGCTGAAGTCGTCACAAACTGCCCGAAGTGTGCAGAAATGAGAGCTCAGTTTAGTGAGTCCTTGCCTTACAATAGCTACTTTCGAACTCCCATAGCGAAAAGTAGGTACTGAGATGTTTGAACTGCAGACTCTCAATACCTGCTTACTGTTCATCACTACTCCACGTACACCAAATTGCACCTACTGGATCTCGACTTGACATCTACAGGAGTGATAAAGCCCCTAAAAGCTTCTTTGCAAGGCATGAACCACCAGGGTTGTTTAGGTCTGACAACAGTACCCAGTTCAGCTTGTCGGCGTTCCAGATATTTTCAATAACCTATAAGTTTCAACACCTAACAAGCAGCCCATGCTCGCCACACTGCAATGGAGATGTAAAGCGCATGATAAGAATACTCAAAAGTTCTCCAAAGAAGATCCTAAATCCTTATCTTGTTCTACTGAGCTACCAAAACATGCTGGGTCCTCCCAGGTATGGTCCAATCCAGTTGCTGATGGGTTGACATCTAAGGAGTACAGTTAGCGTGTCTGGGCTTCAGGAAACAAGCCCGGTAGCGAGGTTTGTTTGGGTGTCTTCAATATTAATGTCCTATTGAGTCGAGAAGGATGACAACCTTCTATGGCAGACACAGACGGAAGCTGTGCAATACCAGGCCCGAAAGAGAACTAGGACATCTCTAAACAAGTGGTTCCCGGCCCCTGGCAATCAAGCCCAGAGCCTTTCTACGGCAACATCAGAAAGCCAAGCCCTGGACTGGTCAGAAGACCAATTAGTGCAAGAGGCTCCGTAACTTATGAATGTGAGAGTGCGAAAAGTGCGAGAGCCTTTTCGCCAACGTGCCACCGTCAGTTTGCAAGCACCTCGGCCAGGCTGTGAACCCACTGACTGGGAATCCGTAGACTGGTGCTTTGTCTCAGAGCCACCGAGGTGGCCTGTGCACCGTAAGAAAGATTGAACTTGTACATTAGCTTAGATAGGCGTAAATAATTTCAATCTCACGGGAATGCTGGCCGGGGTGTTGGCAGAAAACCTTGCGCCCGCGTCGAAGGCGTCGGGCACGTGGTAGACGGTCGTCTGATTCGCCTGAGGCACGACGGGCTGCTGCGGGTAGGAGGCGCCCGCATACTGGGGAGGGGCCGGCGGGGCCTGCCCGTAGCCTTGCCCCGGGGCCGGGTACATCTTGGCCGCGTGGTCCATCGGCTGCGTCGTCTGCGGCTGGGGCCAATAGCCTCCCCCAGAGGGCAGGCTGTGCGACGCGGGGAAGCCACCCGCCGGGTACGGGGCGGGATACGGGGCTGTGTACGGAGGAGGGGGGTCTCCGGGGTAGGCTGGCGCAGATGCCCCCTGCAAAAACATTTTTTTCGCAGAAAGCATTTTGGTGGGAGGGAATTTGGGATACGAGTTACGCTGCAATCATCGTATCATGCCGGCTAAATTTGGCGCGTGCGTTTCAAAAGCTGTGGACACGGTGTAGTGTGGCGGCGAGTGCGTTTCGAAAAATGCAAGACAGTAGTAGGTATAAATCAAAGAGAGTGATGCAAGACTGTGGTATCCCTCAAAATCATAAGAAATTAGACATATTGTAATATAAAATAATTCTCTAGACATCTGGCTGTACTAAGGATAGCAAATAGACATGAGAATGCAAAGGCAAAATTTACTTCACCTCTTGAACCAGATGCTGCAACCCTTCCTCATTCAAAAATAGCTTTCAAGGGAAATCACACTCTGCCCCAGCCCTTGAAGCTGTGTGTGTGCTGAGGAAGTATTAGTATAATTTTAATGTTGTTGAATATGTAGTTACAATACTTTTAAGTTCGAAAGAATCCCCTCTTATCTGTAGTAATCACTGCGAAGAGCAGGTACTTGGAGTAATTAAAAATTTAGTTGTTGAAGAAATTTGTTAAACTTCATCTGCTGGTTTCCATTAGAAAAGACTGGCATTTGTGTAATCACTAATGCTTAACACATTACATTTAGTAGTTGCACTGCATTCTTAAAATTGCCTGTCTACAGTGGAGATGTAATATGCCATACTTTAAGGCAGACTGATTGATTGGTTAATTGAAAGATGAAATTAATTGCTTTAGTTTGGCATAAAGGTACAAAGGTCATAGAGAATTCAGAAGGCTGACTATTGCATGCATGGCATGTGGGAAAAGGTAGAATGTGCAGTAACAATAAAACATGCAATGGTGAACATGTGCCATGTGTTTCTAGCATTTCTCCTATAGTATTAGCACCCATACAATAAGTCTGACCTATTAAGAAAACCTAAGAATGCAAACAAGCTGGTGAAAGTGGAGCCAAAGCATGGACAGAGAGGGCGTGCAGGGGGCAGGGTGTTAAAAAGAGCATACAAAGCATTATATATTTGGCATATATGTGCTTTTTAATACAAATGTTACTTCTATTTTGTAATTTACGATGCTCATGGGCATTGTGAAAATGAAGATCTCCAAGCTCTGTTTACAAAAGCCAATGTTTTTTGTCTTTTTTTAATAACACACATTATATGCAGGGCAGTGTGCTGCCTTTCCTTGGTCTTATCAAGATTGCAGTCTTCACTTTCTTGCCACTTCCAGTATAGAACAATTAAGCTTACTTTGGACAAAAATAACAGCAGAAGTTCACAATTTAAATCTACTTTTACACCTAGATCAAAACCTCCCGAGAAAATTGTTTTTTTTTGTTTTGTTTTCTAGGTCAGTTTTTTTTTTTACATGTCCCGTTTTTATAGGTACACAATAAAACAAAAAAAGCCGTCATCTGCGGAAACAAGACCCAAAGTTCATTCTCCAGAACGTATTAAGGGGACACTAAAGACGTAATTCCGAGACATTTTTACAAACAGCGCCGTCCACTTCCCAAAGGGGAATTAATAACTCGCAGAATCATTCCGATACCAACCTCCCCCTGTAAAGCAGAGCACGCGAAGACTGGCTGCAACTGCCCAAATTGTAGTTACCGCCGACAGTTTGAGAGGATGGGGCATTCCAGTTGAACTACGCACGGGCGACCAGACAGGTACCGAACTGTAGGGTTTGCATTCGGCCACTAATGTCCGCGTTACGTTGGCTACGTCTTCAAGCTGGTTCACACCTTTGCATTTGAGCGCTCGGGGGCCTTTTGTTTTGTTGCGACCGCTTACGATGAGACCGAAGGTTTTGCAGTACTTGCAAGAACAAATCTACTATCTTCGAGAAATGGTTCCTGATAACAATGTCAGAATTACTTCGAGCCCACAGTGAAAACAATGGTGCGTAAAAAAATTATCAAAATATATGTGCGGGTTGAAAGAGTTCCGGGCTCACCCAATTGATGGTGCAAGAATGCCTCTTGTCATTGGGAGATACGAAGAATCAAAATGCACTCGAGCACGTTTAAAGGTGAAAGTGTGAACCGGCCCTTTCAAGGATAAAGTGAAGGCCTCGACGACCACTTCGGTGTCCTTTCAATCTAAGTGAACACCAAGGATCCACCTGAGCACCAGGACATTACCTTAGGCAGAAACCTGAAATCCCGACGCCACTGTCTTCGAGAGCAGTCCGTGCAACAGAGGAAGGTCGACAACATGACGGGCAAAGTCTCAGTGTCCGGCAGCCCTTTAGTTACTGCGACGCTTGCGAGAGGATTCGCAGCCCCAAAACGAGAGAATTACTCCCGGTAGATCTGACAATGGCAAAACGTACAGACTAGGCATTTCCTCCGGGCCCGTGTAAGACGTTAGAAGGTGAATGCATCAACAACTTTGTGTATTGTAGAGCGGTGGTTCTCAAGTGTATTTCGAGGAACCCCCCCCCCCCCCCCCCCCTTCCCCCCCCGGTATTGGCAATGATGTGGTAAAGCAGCGGGGAAGCCTACAGACCTCGTAATCAATAACACACCTACTAAGGAGTGTTTAGCCTATAGTTACGCATTGATGCGGGCTCAGGCCTGCTAAAATAGTACTTTAACTTAAAATGGCTAGGTAGCATTTGTTAAATAAATAAATAAATAAAGGGTTGACCATCATCATCACCTAGAAAGCTACTCAGAAAGGGGAATGCTGCCAACAAGAGATCAGCCAGTGAAGCACATGCCACTCCATTGATATTTGGCTGCATACCTACCAGCAGATACAGCAAGGATGAAGATGTTTACTTGACTACCATACAAAAAAAAGAGGAAGCCTTTCTTTATTCATTAACCATCTTCGGTCAAACAAAATGTTTTAGGGGATTAAAACGCGATGCTGTTTGAAGGGCTGCATTTATTTTTCGTTTATGTGAAATTTATATTAACGCAGTAACTTTTATGCTGAAAACAAACCGGAAATGCTACATTAAAACTAGACTTATCGGTTACCAGTCATCACCCTCGCCCTCCCTTTACTTAGTTCGCCAGTTCCCTGCCCCCTTTCCCAACCGTTAAAAAAATAAGGCAGTCACACTTTCATAAACTGGGCCCAAGATATGTGCGATCAGAAAGAGTCGGACCACGCCAAGCGGCATTCGTTTCCGATTCACGCATTTCTGAAACGGAAACGACTGTTGCATATGTCAGTGCAAACGCGCACAAGCAATGGAATCAAACAGGAATATATCCGTGCTGCGTATGCGATACTCACCGGGTACATGGGGAGCCCCTCTTTGTGGGGTCCTGGATAGCTGCTCATTCTCTGCGCTGCCTTGGAAGCCTTTCCTCGATCGCGGGGACCTTCGACAGACCTAGGGCGGAACGCGACTCCGAGACCTTTAGCACCTCTGCCCCTCTGCGACGTAGCTTATCTGTAAACAAGTAGCCCACAGCACGTACACTTGCCAACCCTGTAGGGGTGGATGACACACCAACGCGAAGACGAAGTGTAAACAAACCTTACCGTCGATCCGTTTGACTACACAATTCGTGGTGAGCTCAATGCTGGGTCCGCTCAAGCCTGCCTGCCTGTCTCGCCGCTGAAAAAGAGAACGTTACCACGTTTCTGTTTCCTTGTCACTCGCTAATAGACACCCATCCGACTCGATGACGAGTTCATTCTCCTTGATTTACGTGACGGTGGCGATGACACGATCCAGCCGATCCAGCACCAGTTTTGCCGCTGCAACGCGCAACACTTCAACTGGATAGAAACGCGCATAAATAATGGCTGTGACTTGAGGGTAAAATTCATGTTTCCAAACATGGAAGAAACAACAAAGCAGCTGATTTGAGCCCACGTTTGAGTCACCAAATCTAACGGTGCCCGGCAGAGTGCTCACATCAACGCGTAGTACTGGCGTGCTGGCCACTATGGACTAGCGAGGCTCTAAAACGAAACTGAAACTAGTCAAGTTGAGGGCGGTACTATTGCAGTATTGTGCGTTAATGCCCGAATTTGCATGTTACACCTATTGTTTGTCCTAATATATTTTCTAGCGTTGATCGGGAGCACGCGTGTTTAAAAAGTGTTTGTTACAGCGACAGCTGTTATACTGGGAGCCTCCCCGGGGAATCGCGTGGTCGTCCTTCACGAAATCTCCGGTGTCTTGAGCGTGCACGCGCAGCCAGAGCACGCTGCACGCGCCGAAGAGCAACGAGCCCGTACCGCAGAGAAAGCTAGAAGCACGAGCTCATAACGTTGGCAGCTGCCCTTAGTGCACGAGAGCTGGCCCAGAGGAAGGAGCTCGCACAGCCTTTCCTTTGAGGCCAGCAGTTCTCCCGCCGTTCCAACTTTGATAGTGGCGCTATAGCCGGCACCCCTGTCTACGACCCTGGTCCGGGCCGGCGAACTTGTACGCCGTATGGGACTACGGAAAGTTCGTAGAGGGTCCAAACAACGCAACTGAATTCAGTTATGACACGCGAGTGGAATCAGCATCGGAAATTAAAATGGCGTGAAAATCCTCAGAATCGTACTTACGAGGCGTCGAAGGACCGACTACGAACGGGTTCGTCTCCCCCACTGATCTCTATCAGTGGTCTCCCCTATCATAAAATTGCCATGCGTGTTCTAGCCTCTAGGCTGGCACGAGCGGATACGACTTCGTAAAACGCATAGAGTTATTGTAAAACGAGACGGAAATACCGGCACCTGCACATCAGACGACCAAGTTTAATTTGTGGCGCCATCTCCCGCCAGGCGCAGCCAGCAGACAACAGAGTGCCAGACGGGCCCTAAACTCGTCAAAAACAAAGTTGGAGCCGAAAGTTCGCGGAGCGCGCCGATTGGGCGTCGGCGAAAAAGCGCGAAGTAATCGTCGTGATAGGGCAATCGGTGCACTCCGTCAACTTCGGCAACTACTTTGGGTTTGACAAGTTTGGAGGTGCTGGAGCGAGGGGACAAAAAAGGACGGACAGACAATGCGTCGCCTGCTCACTGCGCCTGTCAAGAGATGGCGCCACAAGTTAATAACGTCGTTGACTCGTTAATCTGCTAACACCTTCCAAATCGACAAGTTTGTTATTCATTTTTCTTTTACAGGAAGTGAACTATGACTTGAAATTTCATGCGGTAAAACTAAACTTGCTCAGTACATTCGTTGAAAGTTTAACCTTTCTATGTGCAGGCACCAACTTTTTCGGCTTGTTTTTTTCAGCGTCGGATACGCCTAAGAAAAGCGTAATTTCCATACTTTTAACACTATAGTTTCACCATCAATGGCTCACCGACAAGGGGCGGGAATGGGGGTGTTCAATGACCGTCCACCAAGCCCTGGTTTTCTTTTACTTGACGTCGAAGGTTGATAGGGCAAGAGAAAATAATACATTTCTACCCGACGGGTTGGAGCCTTTCCGGAATTCAGTCTGCTCACTTCACTCGCTATCATCATCGGAGTGTTGGACATTCGTGAAAATATGGCTTACAGCATACATTCAGGATTGCCACCTCCCCCGTTGGTTTATTGGGATAAAAGCTTGGCCGGTTGTCTGTCTGTATATCTAAAACCGGCTGTCCCCCATTTGCCAGTTTTTCAAACTACCCAGGACTCAAGCACGTATCTGGAAAGGGGGGGGGGGGGGGGGGGGGATGCCAATTCTTTCAATGTTAAAATTGTTGCACAGCTCCTTTTAAGTTAAAGGGGCCCTGCAATCATACTTAAGCGTCTACCTTTCTTGCGGTTTCCACATCTCTTCGGGTTCGGGCAAGCCAGCGGGCACGGAGAGAGTAACTAAATATCAATGTGTCATGTTTTATCCAGACGACGCAAAAACCTCCTCCACCTACAAGGGCGACCTGCGGTGCCAAAAGCGCAATATGTGAAGTCTTTGGTCCTGGGCTTACTACTGGTCAGAGCCGCTAAAAGATTCTTTTTAGTCGAAATATAAGTGGTGCGAACCGTTTTAACTATTGATGAAAATAGTTTTTGTTCAGTATTTTAGATCAGAAAAGAAACAAAAGCAGCTTATAAAGTACGGAAACAAGAAATGACCCGTCGACATACCCGCCACCAAGCAGTGGAAAAGGCAGCGTATACTAGAAATGGGTAAAGGGATCAGGCACCGACGAGCAGCGAGCGTAGAAAGGTCCCGGATATATGCGGCGGCGCTGCGGTCGTATATGGGCTCGGGGATTCGACTGGTTCCGAAAGCCTTCGGCGAGTAGGTTTGGCTTGCGGTTTGGCCGTTTGGCGGTATGGCAGCGTTAAGTGGCTCCCGTTCTGAACTGATCTTTACCCGGCAATTGCTGTTGTTTGTGGCCAATGAAGTGTCATACCAAATTAGTGTTTAATCACGCAGCAAATGCAATGCGAGCCGCCCTGGCTGCCTGCTTCATACAGCCTATACAGAACATGCTTGAGTGGCACCCTCTTGAGCCGTCGACACAGAGTGCAGCAGCCGTGAGCGCTCGTTGAGCTCACCACCTTTCCTCTAGTTCACGGGCACTCAAGCGGCCGAGGAAGTCACGAAGGAGGTTATTTATTGCTTGTTTTTGTAATTTTGATTTGCCTACAACTTTTAGAATAAAACGAAATTCGAAAGAAAAGTTTCATCAAGTTACTACGTTCAGTGAGCTCAGGTTCGGCGTGAAGGAAAAACCAGTAAAAAATTCCTTGCAGGGCCGCTTTAAGAGCCATATTTACTTGAAGCATTATTTAATTTGCAGTCATTTTTATTTAAACAGCAGTAATCGGTTCTTCACCTGCTGCACAGGCTGAATGTGCGAGATTTGTTTGTGAAGCTTTAATTTTTAATAACTGGTATACGTCTCTGTTATTTGAGTTCAGTGTTGTTTGTGTACTTGCATGAGCTATGATGTAACAATAGATCTATGTCAAACTCGTGTCAAAAATTGAATCTCTGACTCAATTAAGACTCAATGCTGCATCTTTCTTTTTAATATTTCAATCTCACATAACGCACCCGCATCCGCCCCCCCCCCCCCCCCCCCCCCTTTCCCCGCTTCATTTTTCTCCGAGGAAAGGTGGCAACCCTATATCTGGGGCGAGTCTTTAAGGTTTGTTGTGCCCTTTGAGAAGAAGTTGGTACACCACTGTGTGCTGAATTCATCAGATTAGATTACAATTTATAATTATTGAAGAGTAATGTTTTAAATGTTTTCTTGTCCTTTACATATTTAGGTCAATGATTTTACTTCAGGTACTGGAAGGGTTTTCTTCTTTTTTCAAGGGTACCTAAATTACTTTTGCCTCTGCAGCAATACAGTCCCGGGAGGACACATGGCTGGCTCCGACAGCTCACATTGGGTCGCAGGAGCCGTAACTTTTGTCGTCTGCGAAGTTACATGGAACTATGGTACCTGGAACGAGTCTCCGACTGGCGTGTGTCACCACGTCCAAAAAAGTGGTCCCTCGATTTCTGCCTGGTGACGTCATAAGTGCCAGGCTGTTACTGGTCGCGACCCTGGCGGTGTTCCAGCAGTGGTGGTGGACATAGCAGATGCGTTCTGCAGCAGGTCGCTCTCCGGTGCAGCGGTCCACAGAAGCTTCGGTAGCCAGAAGTTGGGACGCCATGACGACAGCAACACTCGCATTCGCTCGTGCTTTTTGCCAGCATTTCTACGACCAATTGCCAGGATTGCAAATTCCGACAGCATGTCACTCCTGTTTCTGCAACGTCATTTGTTGCCACTTCGGGACCACTTTTGACGTGTGGGCAGGACAGGATGCTAAACACACCAGTCACAGATGCGCTCCAGGCACCGTAATGGAACGAAGTATACAGTAAATAACTTGGTTTTCACAGAGACCCAAATTTGTAAATTTCAAGATTTGAAAATAAGCACGAAAAATTTGTCCTGCGAATAATTCACCCCATGGTAACGACTACACCACAGATCATAAAAATTTGTGCCGGCGAAATAATACCAAAACTGGTTAGATTTCAGAGTTGCACGTGAAGCACCACAATCTCAACACAGCATATTGAAATTGAGGTTTGTTTAATCGCAACCTAGCTCGGATATAAATAAAAAAAATTGGCATAGCTTTCCTAACCCTTCTCTTTCTTCGGATTATTAGATCTAAGAACGTGAGTTCATTCCTAGGCTACGTTTTGAAGTGACAGCAGAAAAGGTACCGACATGGGACTAGAGGATGCTGACCTTTCGGGATATTTGGGTAGATATAAAACAAATTCACAGGTTCATGTGACAGTGCTTCGAAGGCGTGCAATACATCTAAAGGAGACCTGCACTGCACTGTGGAAATAGTTCTAATCTACTGAAGACTCCTTAATTCCCACAGCTTTACTGAAAACCTTTCCACTTTGGTAAAGAAGAAAGACCAGCGAAGCTGTACTATGATGGGAGGATCTCAAGGATGACCTCAGGGAGGACGCCTAGGACCACCTCAAGGACGACTTTTAGGACGACGTCTAGGACGACCTCGAGGACAACCTCAAGGGCGACTTCTAGGACGACGCCTAGAGAAATTCAGCCTTTCCACTCTGGTGAAAACCAGTGGAAAGACTGGAAAGGTTGCCGCCATCTATGAGCTAGGCCGGCAAGCCGGTTGCTCATAGATGGCGGTAGCTGTCCAGAGTTGTCAACATTTGTTTGTTAGCGGACACGATCCTGGGGAACCTAGCCCTTAACAGCTCTGCTGTAAAAAAACAAAAAAGGAAATTCTGTGCAAAAATATTTTGGGGCTCAAGTACACCAAAGTTCAACTTTAATCTTTATTTTACGGTTAGTAAGAGTTTTTGTTTTCACTGGAGGACTTGTTTTTTGCCTGAGAAGTGCAAACCCTGGGTGGTCTTCATAAACATTAACCCCCCCCCCCCCCCCCCCCCCCGCCCCCGCCCCCCCCCCCACAAAAAAAAAAAAGAATTCCATGGTTCAAAAGTGTGTGAAAGTTACCCTAGTTCGTTGACACCTGTGGAACACTTAATCTCGTTCGCTACCACTCTTCCCAAATCGGCAGCAGCTGATCGACAAACTATTTTAAAAAGCTACTTTTTACGACTTAAAAAGATAAAATATGTAGTATGAAGCTGTTTAATTTTTGTTTAATAATAACTTCTTGCCCGTTTACAAGGGTATGCAGAGTTTACATTACACAAAAGCTTTTTTTAAGAAAAATATATGTGAGCATTAGTGCCCCTGCAAAAAGTATTCCCAAATTTGCATTTCTAAATACTTTATTTTTTCTATTTTTCAAATGCACTTTTGGTATGTATCGCACTACTATTGTAGGGATGTATTTCAGTATCAGTATTTTAGCTGTCTTTGTCATGTATCCCAGCATTTGTATTTCCAAATACATTGAAGAGTATACTGCCCAACCCTGCATATAGTGCTTGGATCCAGTAGGAGTACATTGTGGCAAGGACAGTGCAAGTATGGATGCCTGCAAGGTTCTTGCACATGGCCTCTCAATTTTACTTGCTTTACCTGCAAACCACAGAACAGCATGAACACTATTGGAGTAGGCATTTTTGATTTTTATTCAACACAATTTTTTTTTTTTTTTTTACAACAGATACAATCCATTTTTTTTTTTTGTGTGTACAACAATTGCACAACAGATGGGTTATTAAACGCCTGAAACTGTATATTGTAGCGTAAAAGTTCTTTGTATATATATATCTTACGAGAAAAAAACCAGGGCAAAAAGCTTTCGAGGGTCAGAGAAAGGAGGAAAAAAAAGTAGGAAAGTTTTCAGAGAAAGGTCTACGAGTGTATGCGTTTTAGCTTCCGGGGATTGGTGGAATCACGCGTATTTGAAAACTGACTCGAAGCAGTTCATGCAAGCTGGGTTTAAAAATCTGGCAAGGTTTTACCTTTTCTTTTTTTTTCCTTTTCAAGTGCTTACTTTATTCGCATGTATGTAACACTGTGTAGCGCCTCTCCGGAGAAAAACGAAAAGTGTATTCCGGCAGAGCTTCAAACGCAGTTCTGCCTCCCCGGTTCTCGAGAATTAGACCGATGGCCGTTAGAGGGGTATTGATTCTAAAGACATCCGACAACTCTAGCCAAAACACCGGCTTCTTCCATGCAGTGGTAGGACGCGCTATATAACTGTGAACTCCCGTAAAACAACCAACCAAAACTTTTCCAAAAAAAGAAACAAACAAAAGCTGTCAAGCTAGCAAATAACTCCGGACGAGTAATCAAAGAAACGTCTCGCGTTTTGTGTTATGTATAGTATGTATATGAATATATATGTGTAATATATATTAATTCATATTCTCCGACAAATTGCCACCAGTCACAGGGGAATGAACTCGTGTGATTTTTAAAGGCTTTATATAGCATTTTATATATATATACATATTTTAATGACTGTGTGATTGGTGATCCGGGGGGAAAAAAAAGGGGGGGGGGGAAGGGGGCAGAAAAAGAACGAAAGACGTCAGGAAGAGAGAAAGACGTGCATCCATGCATGCGGCAGACACGCGCGCCCTTCGCCCAGTGTGAAAATTGCATGGTTCTTTAATGCTTCCTCTGCCCCGCCACACTGCTCGTATGTACAACTTGCACATATGTATAATGTTTACACACATCCATCCTCCTCAACTTCGTGGCCAGACACACAAGAAGCCAGAGAGAGAAATCGATGCAGAAAAGGGAGGGGACCAAGAGTAACCAATGGGTAAAACGAAAAACACAAGTGGCACTTGCAGGTGGTTACACTGGCGCTGCAAACTGCCTTCCCCTAAGCTAAACCACACATCCTTTCCAATACACAGCTGGTCTAACCGTATTGTCCAAGCAAAACACACATGCATGCCAATGCATGCCGCACCACGGCAATGTCGCAGTTTTTTTGTTTTTTTTCCCACTCCGGGCAATTTTCCTCTGCAGTCCCGCGTAAAGGAATAACAAAACGGGTAACAACGAAAGAATTGTCGGTGGTTTGGAGGGAAGGGAGCGCCAGAAAAAGCGTAAGAGACGAGCCGGATGGCTCTTTGCGCAGGTACCCCCCCTTCAAAGCTCAAAACAAGTGAAAACAAGGAGAAGCACAGCCTACACTGTTGCACCGCACACACTCACACGCACATACAGACACATTTTCCGTGCACTGTGAACAACACTGCACACGCCACTTTCTTTACACACTAACTCCGAACAAAAGGCAAGGCGAACGCACCTCTCGGATACCCCGCCGCTGACCCGCAGAGTGAATGGAGGCTGCCACGGTTGGAGACACTCCGGAGGTTCATTTCTTTTTCTTTTAGCGTGCGAGACGTGTTCAAAAAGGTTGCGGCAGTTCACGCGTCCAGTCGCGTTTTAAGCGCGTCACAGTGCCTAGTGGGTGCTCGGCTACGCTGCATGACAACACAAAATTCCCGCCCCACCCCCCTCCCCCCAAAAAAAGAAGTTTTGACATCATTTGGACACAAGCTGCGCGAGAAAGGCGGGACAACGAAACGATATGTGAAAAACAGAAAGCAACGAGAATGACAGAAAAGGGGGGCGACGAGCATCGGCAAACGAGGACATTTGGAAACCTAGAAATGCCCTTCAAACATAGGGACTTGCTACACGCCGTAAAGCAAGAGATGACACGGGGCCAGCGAACACTCTCGCCCAGGTGTCTGCACCTGTGGCAAGGTATGAGAAGAAACCAACCAGACTAAAAATCTAAAACAAACAAAGACCAAAAAAAAAAAAAAAAAAGCAAACAAAATAATTTACATCTAACGCAGCATCTTGAGAAAAGAATGCAAAAACAAAACAAGCATGAGTGAAAAAAAAAAAGAAAACGGCCAGAAACAAGTGTTTTGAGGAACATTTGCATGGCGCCAGAGCTCTTCCCAGACGCGCCACGACGCCGGCGTTTCGATGAGAAAAGTGTGCCACCCGTGCGCGTCGGTGCTTCTTTCCACCACCCCCTTCGCAGAGATTCACGCAGAAGACGAAGGAGTGTGCTGCATGCGTAGTTCTCGCGCCATTCCCTCTCCCCAGCCCCTCCCTCCCTCCCTCCCTCCCATTTGTATGTCTCCACCATACCACCCCACGCACGCTCGAATGGCAGAAACGCGGACACACGCATGCACGGAAAACACGTTCGATTTCAAACGACACATCCAAAAAACCAGAAAAAAGTGGATGAAAAAAGGCGCGTGCTGCTCTGCCGCAAAACCCTCCAATCCAACTGGGCAGGCAGCTTCGCGAAGGTTACCCCTCCTTCCTTGAAAAACGAAAAGAAGGGGAGAAGAGCGAATGGGTGACGGTCGGGTTTCTACCCTCGTTGCGACTCGGTGCCGCATGCATGCGCCTCCGAGAGCCGGCAGTTGAGGCGACGAAGAAGGCGGGCAGTGCGAGAGAAAGGGGAGCCCGTGTAGAAAAACAAAGAACTGCGGAGGTAGATCGAAAACCAACCCAACAAAAGGGAACAGAAGGGGATGCCAACCGCTGTCGGCGACCAAAATTTGGGAGTATTTAGCTTGCTTTCATTTTTGACTCCGCTGGTTCCTACAAAGACCGGGCTTGTTTCATCGCGGTTCGCGTGCACCCGTCTTTCGGAGATTGTCGCCTCCCCTGTAATAAAAAGAACCGACCAAAAGCAAGACGCTCCGAGCAATTCTTCGGCGCCCAAATGGCGACAACGGCGACGGACATGGGCGCCGCTCTTCGGCAAGGCAGGGGCACTTTTGAAGAGTTTCCCACGTCCTCGGGTGAACAGTTTCTGCGAGGGAGACCGGGCGCCGGATGGACAGCGGAGTGGCGGCCGGCACCACGACGAGAGGAAGGTCTGCGGCGGCACCGGCACTTGCGACGAGGGTGCCGAAGGGACCGGAAGAAACGAACGCATCTGCGGCGGAGGGTGGGGGTGGGCTGGTGGAGAGCCTCTCTTGTCGTCCAGGGAGGGAGGGAGGGGGGAGGGGGCAAGAGGGGGCGTGAGTGTGGGTGGGTTCTGAGAGCCTGCCCGGGGCTTCAGGACCCGGCCGAATTGCTGCGCTCGTCCGCCTGCTGCGGGGACGAGGGCCCCCCTCCGCCCCCACCTCCCGAGAGCGGGGCGTCCCTGCGGGGGGGCATGCGCTCGTTGATCTTGTCCAGTCCCTTGGCCTCCTCGAAGCTGGTGATCTTGTGGTGCGGCGAGAAGCCTGCCAGGGCTGGGGAAGAGGCAGACAATGTCCCCTTAATGAAAATCTTCATTTTTCCCATGCAAAATGCTAATGCCACTGACAAGGTGAGAATGGCACATAGGAGTTTCGGTCATCTCATTTCCGAGCTCCCAACCTTCGACGAGCACCTTGTGTGCGCGCAGCCAAAGCGTAGCAACGGTATCGAGCATGTGCTGGAGGCCTAGCGTTTCAAAAGACATGCCCTGCCAATCTCATTCTGTCAGTTGCTATAGATTATGACACAAAAACAGTCCCATTAATTGTTTGCACAATGATTCCAGAACCTCTCCATCAAAAGATTCTTTAGGTGCCCCCTGGTGGGCACCACTGCCTATCCAAAGCCAGCATTAGTACAACGCCCGGGATGAAGCAGACTATACACCTTATGTACGGCCACGGCAGATGCTACGAGTCGTCGGAGCCAATCCATGGCCATGCGAGCTGCCCGTAATCTTCAAGAGGAAGTGCTGTAATGCGCGGAAAGCGCAGTCACACGCTACGTTCATGGAGCTGGATTGGCTGGGATGGATCGAGACGTCTGCTGCAGCCGGATCAGGGTGAAACCGAGTATAGCGACGATGATGGCAGGAAGCTATACGGGATGCCTCGGGACAGGCAGCCAGCCATCCACTTCAACTGGGCCGCCTCCTGGAACCCGCTGCTTCCACCGGACTGCCGAAGCTTTACAGTCTGCCACCTTAACGGCCAGCAACGACACTTCAGCTTGCCGGCTGACTCGCCCGAACAGTCTCCGAACTTCTGAAGCTCGAGCAACGGTTATCGCGACAAAAAGAACACTTTGTCCTCTTCTTGTATATTGTTGCATAATTGCCACTGCCACATACGGTACCGCGGGCCTTCGTGGTATGGTTTTTGTCTTTCTGAGGTGCAGCAGCATTCTTGAGTCAATGGTTATTATTATTACTACTATTACCACATTCTCATTCTCTCTGCTCGGTTTCCATCCGGCAAAACCGAAATATCAATGCATCCCGTCATCACGGGCAGTGGCACTGTAGCAGAGCAGCGAAGCAGAGTGGCTGCAGAGTACGGAAGTCTGCAGTAGACCAGTCCGCAGCCAGCCAGGGAACAGAAAGTGAGGCAACCACGGGAAGGCACACCGTAACGCCAGCAACAATGCTGCCCATTCATCCGCCGTATCGTCGCTTTAAGCATGACCAAACGCCGAGATTGTGGTGATCCCAGATGTTCCCTCGGGGGGGTTTTTGTGACAATTTCTTACCCATCCACAACACTCCAATGTATAGGCAGTATAACATGCCAAGCAGGCAATTTAAATCAGAGAACAGCAGACCAGAGGCTCAAGAGGCTCACCATTGCGCAGGGAAGTTTTTCCCCCGGACAGGGCCCCCAGTGGCAGGGTCCCAGTGGGCGTGAGTCCTTTAAGCTGAAGAACGCTTTCGCTTTCTTCCCTGCAAGAGGACGAGAGAATCAATGTGTAAGAGCCCCTTGGTCGGCACTGCAGGTTCTGTCGGACAATGAGAGCGGATCACGTGGGATCATCTCGAGCCACAGTTTGCCAGACTTGCACCTCATTGCACTTCTCGGAGCTTCTGCACCGAGAGCTATAGAAAATACAGGGCTCGGGCTGTTCCTGAATAAGGTGACAGCACAAAGTATGTAGTAGCAGAGAACTATTCCCAAACAACTTATATACCTCAGGCTACTTAGCCGCCCCTGGTAACAAATGCCCCGTAACCACATCACCAATCAAACTCGAGAAAATCTGCAACTCACCTCAGCACCGAGAAGACACGGGCCATCTTGCCAATAGCACGGATTTTATTTCTAATAACTTCTTTTCGAGCGCTCGCTGCTCCACCTGTGGGCCCAGTAGGCAGTGAAGGGGGAAAAGAACGGGGAAAACAGAAATAAGTCGAGACATAGCTCAAAATAATGGATATTGAGTGAACAGAGACTTCACAAGCGCAGCCAAGTGCCTGTCCTGCTGCCTAGCCTGAAACTTGAAAGGCAACACCTTGCAAAGCGGACCCTCTGCTGAGACACGGCAGAGACCGTCATAAAATACCGAGCATGCACCCGTGTGACAATAGGCGCCCACCCAAGACCTTCCCACTAAGCTATCCTAGATGCTCCTCCACGTCAGCCGCTTCTTCAGACACGCCTGTGGGGAGCGGTGAAGCTAAGCCCACCTTCTGTTCGCACTCGCATCTTTGCTTTCGAACCAGAGAACTGCCCGTCCCCCGAGTTTTCCCCAGATAACATAGAAATTTCAGATGGATGCTCGCTCGGTACTTTAACAGCATGTGTAGATGCAACAGAAACACTCCCCTCACTTTAACCTTGCTCAGACACGCACCGAGGCGAGGAAATGCTACTGACATATGAGTGATCTGATTGGAGAGATATCTGCTGCACCTTTTGAGGCAACAACTCTCAAAGCTCTAGCACATACTTTGTTCTCCTTCCTTCCACTCTGAATATTCCAATTCTTAACCTATTACACCAAAAGGCGGTGCTTTCTTTGCTCAATTATAACCTCGTTTGCACCTCCTCCGTTAATACCTTTTACCGGCTGTCGAGCTCACGTTGTGATGTGTTAACTAATTGCCTGTTTAATGCATTCTGAAAAGCTCCGCTCTGAACAAGTGCTTTTTACCCTAACCGTGCGGTTCTCCTGCAGCAAAGCGAGATGCACAGAGTCGAAGTCTCCGATTCGCGCAAATCGCTTCGTCGCAGTGGCCCTGTGCACAATGAGAAAAGCACTGAACAGAGCTAACTGTTTTGCCCAGATGTCAAACAATGAAAAATTTTTGCAAACTTCAGAGTGTGTCGGTTTTTGATATGAAGGCCGGGTCAAATACTGTAAAACCCTTTATTTTCGCGGCCCCTATTTTTCGCGAATCGCTCACAGATGACATAATCGCGACCACTAAATTTTGCGAATTCCAGACGCCTGCATTGAAAATCTTAAGGACCAAAATTTTTGCGCGCACTTAAATTTCGCGAATTCTTCAATTCGTGAAATTTGCGAAAATTGAGGGCTCGCGAACATTAAGGGTTTTACAGTAGTATTTTATCCAAATTGATCAGCTTCAAAAACTCAATCCAGCCAACCATGACGAACCGGTAACATAGCAGGGTCAGAGTTATTAGTCTCCGTATTAAGAAAGATAACGTAAAATAGCCTCAAGTGCTCGAATTTCGGTCAAATGTAGCAGGATGTAACAGGGTGAGCATACTGGTGCAGTTTGGTGCAGCAATCACATCATTGATGTGTCAGAAAGACTCTGTTTGCAACTACAATGGCAATAAGAGAACCAGTATCGCCGAAGAAGATACAACAGCCCTCTTTACACTTTTTTTTTAACCTCTAGCTCCCCAAAGAGGCTATAACAACTGCAACAAAACTAAAGTCCCTAGGTTAACAGTCATATCACACTGACCAAATTGCCCATCTACATGGGGACATCAGACATTGTTTCCAGGCAGACTGCTCCCCTTTGCAAGAAATTTTACTTCTGAAAGCCTTTAACTAGTACTCAAAAGAAGCAAAGCCTCTAAGTAATACACTGGTTGTACTCAAAACATCCTTTTATTTCGTAGAAGACCTCAAATGTCAAGCTTGCCTCCCTGCTGCCATTAGCTTCCCATGAAACAAGTCTCCTAGCAAGCAGCTTAGCTAAAGGACAGGCACTCGGCTGGCGCAAAGGAAAGCGAGACTATGCAAGACCATGCTAGTCTAGTTTATCCCCCTGCCCAGCCCCCAAAGCTCGGCTCGACAGAATGTGCAAGACCGACAAAGCACAGCCAACAAAACGAGGGTGTCACATGCCACGCTTAGCTGCCATAACCGTCCTAGGGCATCGCCGAGCCCACACCGCCACCACCACACGGCAAGAAACACAAAATCACTGCTACGGACAGACACACAGTTAGACAACGGAGTGTACACTTACGTGGCATGGTTATTGAGGTTATTGTGGAACGAACGGCAAAACATAAGATGAAGGAGAAGAAGAGAACAAAATAAGCGTCAGAAAAAACACTGCCAGGTTAAAACAAAAAGACACAACAACAAAAAGGTTGCAACCGCTCGTCTCCGCAAGCGCCACACCCGCACAAGCCGCCGGGCGGTCGAGGCTCCTCTACGTCCGTCGACACAAAAATGGGAGAAAAACTCTTCTCCCTCCTGCAACTCAGACAGCAAGAGCAAACCCATTCGCACAGAATTAACACAAGGGAAGAAAGGTCCCTTGTAACATCCTGCAAAGCGGGAGGTTGCTTTGAGGGAAGAGGAGCCACGACACCCGAGAATGTGCAGCAATACCTGTTAGAGCACACCATCAAATGCGCGAGTATGTTGTGCACACGCCTCCAGAGTTTAGATCCAGTGCAGAAAACGGTAAATTAATGTCGGCTGTTTGGAGGGCGCAGCCGAAGTAGGGAAGCCGGTGAGAGAGTGCAAGACGGTGCACACGTGGCTGTCCTTGCACAGTTTGCAAATACAGGCACCTCGAACTCGCTTGGCGCACGGGCAAGATAATTCCTTGCTTTTTCCCCAGCCTCGGCTGCAATTCTTCCTCCTCGCACTTGAACTTTCAGTATGGGTTCGAGAGTCGACAGACAACTAAATAGGCTTTGCCTAGGGTATTTGCACCCCAGTTCCCCGATTTTCTTCTGGGTGCCACCATTTTCGTGCTCAATACAAAGAGGGTGCAATAGACTAGTTCCATAAATCCCTGCATGCAACACGGCACGCGTTGCACTCTGGGAACTAGTTGGCCAGGAAGGAGAGTGGAATGGTTTTGGTTTCGATCGACACGTCGACAAGAAATTATACACAGAGCGTGGACTATAAACACCCGTTTTCTCACGTTTTCTGGTTCCGAGAGAGTCATTTGTGGTTTCTAAACTAACCTAAATGGCCAGACCTCGAAGCTTTAGCACAAGCCTGAGTTGTATAGCTTGCTTCAACGCATGCTTGTTGTATTTTTGCACTTGGGCCTTTCTGCTAGCGTTTCGAGGTATGTGGACAAGCCAGTGCTAAGAATCTCGCACTAGGATGCTCGGGGATCTTACCTGTGTACGAATCAACAAGCTGCAGCAACCAGTAAGTATGCATACATCGAGCTTGCGCCTTTACATTAGTGTTGTTTATCAGGAAGTTTCTTTGTTTCGTGCATCTACAGACGAAGTATACTTTTTTCAATTACTGTTTCTTAGTACGCCGAAGTACACAAGGTAAAACTCGGAGGTGCCATTGAAAAGCTCCATTTGAACACACTTCTTATCGCTTATCTGTACTGCCATTCAGCACTGCACGAAGTGAAGTCCCCACTCGCTTGCATTCAACTAATATTCAACATCGCATATGTGCATAAAGTTATCCTGCAATCATATAGGCACATTCACACATGCAAACCGTCTTAAGAAAGCAAAATTCGAGAACTTGTGTAAAAGAATGTCGCACCGTTCGCCGGAAGTGCGCTGGATGGGCATGAACCCCATGCAGTGCGTGAAATGAACGAAATCGTTCAAAGCGCATTTGACGGTTGCTAATGACCATAACATTTCTTATATGTTTGCTTTCCTCCTGACTGAGTACACCAAGATAATTTCAGACACACTGTTCAGGCACAGATCTTGGGCGTCTGTAAAAGCTTGTCCAAAAAAGCTTAGCGAGGAGTAGGGGACGCTTGTTAGGGCCTCCGTCGTAGCTAGCCGACCTCACCATTTGCGAAAACTTAATCTTCTATCACCATAAAATTTGAGTGTGAGATATGTGATGACACGAGGAAGACATCAAAGTAACTTTTGTGCAGTAGTGAGGCCGAATTTATTGAGTTTCCTTAAAAGTTCAAGTGCCAACGCTGGGCTCAACTTAGATACTCCTGTGAGCAGTCTTGGGTAAGTTACTTTTAAAAAGTAATTCGTTACAGTTACTTTCAGAAAAAAGTAGTGAAGTTACCGTTACAGTTACCGCAACAAAAAAGTAACTCGTTACAGTTACAGTTACTTTTAAAAAGTAACGACGTTACTCTTCAGTTACTTTTTCTATAACACAAAAAAAAATCAGGAAAAACTAGAAAACGCTTTTCACCAAGTTTATTTGCATAAAATTAAAAAGTGTGCTTTTTACTTCGTATTGTAAGTTAGCAGCAGTTGCTTCCCGAAATTAGTTTTTGAAAGTTTCCCTTGTTTGATAACGAACACATCCTTGCCCTTGTTGAACAGGCGCTCGTCTAACGCACTAGATGAGATTGCAGTGTTGTTTCGCCGGAAAAGGTTTTTGATTGCCGGGTAGGCGGTGAGGCAATAAAGTGCCGTTTTCTGCGGTCAAGGTAGCCTCCTCCACGTCAGCAAAATACTCTCCGTACGCCGGCCATGGTAGTTTTTCTTTTTTCTTATCAACATTCATATCCTTGGTAGCACTAGCATATTGCTGGCTCGTTGACGGTTGCGCTGGGTTCATAGAGTCCCTGGACATATTTCAGTTTGTACCCGGCAAGCCAGAAACAAACCCCGCGCCAACAGCAGTAAATTTTGCCTCGACTGTAGACACTACACCGGATTAATGGCGCAAATCAAAATACGAAGCATGCGCAGTGCGGAGTGGCGGCGCTAATCAAAATACGAAACATTCGCAGTGCCCTCCACGTGTATTGTTGTTTCACGTTTGATTCACCCGATTAAAAAGCGTTTACGCAGAAAAAAGAAAAACCGCGAAAGAGATAGTTCTTCAAGACACTAAGATGCAAGTGTTCAGTCACAAAGTACAAGCGCGTGCTAAAGATAACTACATTTTTTTTCACCAAACCTACACGTGGCTATATTCGGGTCGTGACTGGCGAGAAAGAAGGTATTCACAAATCTGTGCAAAAAATAACTTGACACTCGAAATGTCGGAAGAGACAATTTGGAAAGCGCAAGAAATGGCTAAATTGTACCCTTTTTCAGTGATATATTATTCACAAAAAACTGGAAAGTAACGACAAAAGTAACGTCGTTACTTTCATCGTTACTTCAGAAAAAAGTAATAGAACTACAGTTACAAGTGACATTTTTAAAAAGTAACTCGTTACAGTTACAAGTTACCAAAAAAGTAACGAAATTACAGTAACGCGTTACTAGTAACGCGTTACTACCCAAGACTGCCTGTGAGGATGCGGCTTGCTTTTTGCCCAATGAGTTCACAAAAAGCAAACGTTTGGCGAACAAAATGTATATAGAGCTCAAGGTGACCGAATTTCAGTTGTAGTTCACTGGTACTAGACGGGATTACTAACATTTTGTTTAAAGATGCGCTCGCGGGGTGAGGTGACTAAGCCACGTCTTACTACGTTTGCATACACACACACACAATACCCGGTTTTTCAAGAACCAAGGAAAGTGCCCCGATCTTCATTTTGTATCGCTCAAGAATGAGTGTATTGTACATTCGTAAAAAGTCAGATAATCGAAAACGCAAGCAGCACGTTCGGTTGCAGCGTGATAGCATGAGATGACGCTGCTCAGTCGAAACCGAAACTGAGTGGCCAACTGGTTCCCAGAATGCACTGCATGGTATTGCGCCTTGATGGGGCGCGTCGGTTTTGGAAGAAGTCTACTGGCGACAGTTATGGTAAAAAAATGCGACTTGTTCGGCTTTGAACACTGTTTGGAAGCTCGGGCGACACCATCTTGCTCAATCGCAGCGTTTCTGGAGGACTGAAAACCGTTTTCGACAACACAGATACAGCTTCAGAGAACTGGCAATAAGGACTCGAAGCACCAAGGTGGCCGAGCGGACGTTGCTGTGAGCATCTCTACAAAAACAAATCTAAGTGCCAGCTACACAGAGCTTTGGAAACAGCTCGATCCGTCATCCTCGACGTTCTAAAAAATGTGTCATAGTGTGCAGAATACCCTCCAGTTTGAAGTAACCATTATAATGGGAGGCTGTCCCGTTAAGTGCAAACTATGCGGGCGAGCTGAGAAATGTAGTCTATAAATCGCTCAACAGCTGCGACTTTGTTTCGCCCTCGGCTAGTGGCGGGCATTCTTCCAGCATTGCATTACTTCGACTTTCCAAGGTGCAAAGGATTGTGCGTAAGAAAGAACAGACAAAATGTGGAAAAATGCCGCTAAACCCGGCCACTCAATAAGCTAATAATGGCCCCCACTGAAGCAATGCATTGTTTGGGTGTAACGGAACACATTTCATTACGTCCTTACCAGTGTATAAGCCCTTTCCCTACCACTGCCAAATGTAATGAAGGGAAGACATGGGTCTTTGGAGCCAGAAAACAAAGAACGGTTCTTTGCCGACACAAATATAACTTTTTTTAGCAACATGTAGCTAAATGTTCAAAGCATATAGTGTTGGAAGCAGATTTTTCAATATAGCTGTAGGAAATTTTTAAGTGAACTATTGTTTTATTGCTTGGTAGTCACACATTGGACTACTGACCTTCGATGTGTTGTAAAGACACTAATAATGGTTCAATCTAAAAAGTGCTTTCAACATTGTATTCTTCATAATTTGTAGTATCCGACCATATGTTAAAACATTTTTTATAAATGGCTTTTCACTATTATTTCTGAAAACAAAGTAAGGTTAATTATAATTACAGTGGAATCTTGTTAATTCACACTCGTGGATAATTCAAACTAACATGCAGGCCCCATCCTACGTGTCTCAGAAGGACAACACTCCTGGTAATTCAAACTTTGCATTGTCTAAACAAAGTTTTGGTCCTCCTTGGATTCAAATTAACAAGATTCCACTGTATCCTGAGAACTAACATACTAATTAAAAAAAAAAAAAAAAACATATTTGAAATCAGCACTAAAGTCAGAACAAGCCTGAGCTGTTTCATTGGGCTTGGCCAAAAAATAAGAAAGCTCCAAGACCAGTGTTCCCCCTTAAGAGGTAGGAGACTGAAAACGAGGCTATGCATGTGCAAGCATTGTGCAAGAACAGGCAGCAAACTGAAAAAGTCCCGAGCATGCTGCCAAAATTTTGCACGGAGGGAACTTCCCGAAACCCCAAACGCCAGCTCTGCACACTCCCGTAAACAAGTTAAATCAAAGAGCAGAGTCACTTGACTCAAAATGGTATCAAACTGACAAGGGAACATTTTCTTTTTTTAACAATGAACTTTCACTTTTTCAGTTATTTGTCGCAATACACCATAATATTTTCTTAGCTATGTAATCACCGACACAACTACACTCACAAAAAAAAAAAAAAAAAAAAAGATGCCTCAATACTATGTGCTTTTGCAGATGCTGTAGAGAGAACAGGCTACATTAATATTTAGCTCAAATGAAGGCATAAAAAATGCAGACTTAAAAATTTAAAGGCCCATAAAGTTGCCCAATTTAAAACCGAAAAACCTTTGAATTGATGAAAGTGCTCTAAGAGTATGAGGACACGGATCTGCGAGAGCACGGTCGGGGGAAACGTCACTAAGTGACGTTCACACACTACAGCTGCAGATGGAAGATTAAAATGAGCAACATTCTGATCATGCATGCGGTCTTGTGTCCAGGTTAAATTTCAAGGGCAATGACCCCTGAACTGACTCACAAACAAGGCTCTCCAGGGGAAATTACTACCACAAGTGCACTGTAACAATGCAACCACCGTAACAAATTAGGGCTGCAGCTGCAACCAGGAACAGCAATCATTAGCAATGAAGGCCACTTGTTTTAAGGCGGCCGGTCATCGCAAGCGGAAAATTCAAGGCTGCCCAGGCACACTGACCCTTCGTCGCAACACAACAGTTATTCACCCAAACATGGTGGCACGGTACGAAAGTGAAAAGGCGACGACTACAAGCGACCACGCGAGGAAAAAGCAAATCTACGGCCCGAAAAAAACTAAGTGGGGCAATGCAAAGTGCCAAGTGCACAATCTCACACGCATGCCATTCACTGTTGCAAAGAGTTAACTCAAAAGAAAGAGCAATGCCCGAGGCAAAATAAGATGCATTAAATGCACACGCCGAAAGTTAGACAAGGTTGTCCTTGCAGCAGTGAGCAATTGATAAAAAACAGAAGTAACCAAAAAAATGGCAGCAGTCAGCTGTACCAAAATATGTGATACCCTTCCCCCCTAGCTTATCTATTGTGTCGATTCAGCAGCTCTTTTGGGACTAAAAACAACCATTTAGCGTAAACTCTCACGACTAAATCAACCTATAACGGCTGCAAAAATAAATTTTTATTTATCCATCGTGTAAAATTACCAGTATAAACACAGTCAATAAAAATGTAATCTGGCCCCTTGCCTTCACCTTCTGCTACCTAATTCCCTTGCCTAGACAAAGCCTAAAATAAAAAAAAATAAAAAAATAAAAAACTATTTTTACATAGAAAAAAAAAAAGTAAAGACAGAGAAGAGTGTCAGAAAGAGGAATGAGAAGGACAGAGGGAAAAAAAGAGGACAGACAGAGATGAAAACACTGTGCAACCAAAATCATCTTGACCGTGCGTGCCTCATGTACGCCCCTCTCGCTAATCTTCCATTCCCAGACCACTTGCATAAACGAAGGGACCAGTTCGGTCCTTGTGCCAACTGCCACACCTCGTGCAACACCCGTCGACGAAGAGTTAAAATTCTGTCCGGGCACTCAGTGTACGGCGGACACTGAGCTAGCAGCCCCACACTCGGAGCCCTCAAAGGCCTGTTGGGCAACAGAGGGAAACTGGGAGAGAGAGGAGGGGAACATTCCCATTTTGCCCAAAGCTATGCCGAACCGCCGGTCAACCCGAGCACGCAGCAGCGGCAAACCTCATTCGCACAGGCAAGGCAAGATGGATGCAGTTCCTCGGGTTGGCGGAGTAAGAGGTAAAAAGGAGCGGGACAAGCACCAGCACAGCCCTCAACCAGCCCACAGAAAGTGACCCAGAGAGGTCTGTCCCAAGCCAGTTGCTAAACAGAGACATGCAAAAGCCCAGACTCCATATTTAACAAAATCTCTAGTCAGCTATACCGACACACCACCGAATCTCATAAAAGACGAAACACGCTCTGTTCCGCCTTCTAGGAGCGGCCATGTGTTTTCTTTTTGTTAGAACCAGTATTTGTGAGGTGCAGAATGAGTTGGTGCAGTGACAAGACACTCTTTAGAGCACTATGGGTCACTTCCAGAGTCCAGAAACACAATTGTTTTTGTCAGGGGGGCACACGTTAGTGGCTGCAACATGGTGCCTGCATTTCACTGCTTCCCAAAAGCGAAGAACACAAAAAGACCAATCTGCATAACATTCACCAAAAAGAGGACAGGGGCAGAGAGAGAGAGAGAGCGAGAAAGAGAGGAAGACGCAAAAAGCACTGAAAGCAGAACAAACTAAAGGCAGAAAAAGACAACAGAGAGCGTCAATTAGACAACTGCGCATTGTTGTAAATGCTACTCACTATCCTCCTGAGATTCAGGTCCTGAGGACAGACCTAGGGACAGTGAATAGGCTGCTAGGGTAGAATGCACATCGTTGTCTTAGGAAATAAAAGGCGTCACACAGGTCATAACAAGACATCACACGACAAAAAGACAGACCACGTGGTGCGGACATGTGCCACAGCCAGGAAGTAAAACGGGGCTCTCATAGTTCTACGAACCACCAGGCCCACCACAAAAAGATTATCTACAACATGAACCAGCCAACTCAAAGGCTCTAGTTCCAAAGGAAAGCGTCAATAACCCCAAGCTTCCATCTTGAGAAGTTTTTGCAAAGGATTGGACCCCATATAATCTGTTCGAAGAAACTTTTAAAACTAACACGCACAGGCACACATCAAGGCTAAGCAAATGTTGGGGACAATATAAATGCCTTGAATTTTCCTTTATACAGCTGACTAACAACAACACTCGAATGGGGCACGACCATTGAAATGCGAGGACATTTCCGCTTCCTGGCTCCGGGCACGTGCCCGCACGCGGATAATGCTAAATGTGCGGCAGCAGCACCTGCCACTCTATGGACTCTTAGTACTAAGAGGCCTTGGGCTTCGAACTACGGCTGCAACGGGTGTGGTGCGTTGCTCACAGACCGTTCTGCCTAAGCTCCGCTGCCTTACCAGCTTCAATCGCGCATCCCTGTTCCTATCTCATTAACCGTCCCTCAGAGATTGTGAGGTGGATTTTGGCTTCACCGAAGAGCAAAGAGATAGTCAGAGAAAGAAAGACAGGAAGAGACAGATAAAAGGTGAAAGAAGATAATAGAAAAAAAAAAAAACTAACGCGAGGAAAAAAACACCTGTCAATTAAATTAAACTGTCTGAAATCTGCGCCGTACGGCACAGGGAAGAGGCAATCGGGCAATGTGCCGAGATATTACACACTGTTTATGAACGAGAGCAGCTTTACAATAAAACTAAGCCAAAGTATGTTCCTACGAGCATAACAGAACCCGACAACAGTTAGCCCAAACATACAACTGCAAGTTTTCCCCAGACTTCGCGCACAGCCGAAGCGTTGCCGCCAAGACAACCATAGTTGCCGAGAGGGTGAGTATGGTAGGGAAGAGTCTCAGTTGCCCCGCATCCAGCGCGAGCTTCCAACCTTAGACAATGCTTTGGCATCTTGTGCACCTCCATCGAGCGCCTGCGTGCTGCAGTCAACTCGTGGCGCGAGGCATGGAGCGTGCACCAGAGGTCTTCGAAAGACATGCCCCGCCATTCTCATTCTATCGGTGACTATAGTGCAGCGAAATGAGCGCACGCAAGGGCTAACTTGGACGGCAAAGTGTGGTGTTGTCCACCAACCTACTTGAGTAACATTCAAAAAGGCCCACGTCGTATCTGAGCAAACCGCAGTGCCATGTACCATCAGAAATGGGGGTAAGTGTGGTTGCCGACAGATTTTTCGGACTTGGAAGGGTCCCCGAAATTGTCCAAATAATCAAGCCGACAGAAAATTCATTTTCAGCCAAGATGTCAAATTTCCGTGCATATTACGCTGCGTACTGGCCATTTGCCACTTGCTTCATGTCAATCTTAAGTTCTCATGCAACTTGCACTTTACATTGTTCACTTTTCATTTGTTTGTTGATCTGTTTGATGACGGTGATGCACTTTGTCGGCACCTTCGTTGGCACAAACAATGGAGTTGGCACCATTTGGCACTATTGGAAACAACAATTAGTCCACCAAGCTTGCTTCAATAAACCTTCGCGCTCAAAAACCACAAGAACGGCAGATGGCCGCACTTCTCGCGGTCGCACTCGAAAAGCACAGACCACGAGAAGAACTGGAAGAACCATAAGAATGGGCGACGGCAGCCATGTTCCCTATAGAGGAACCAGAAAACCTGACTATAGCCTCAACCCAGCATGTTTATTGCTTAGAATGTGGTATCAAGGCTAGAGGGCAAAATCAAAACAACCAAAATGGCAGCAATTAAGCTCGCGGCGCTATCGCGGCGGCTGTTTTGTGGCTGTAAATTGAGGAAATCACGCAAATTATGTCAGAAATATAGAGCAATAAGTTTTATGGCATCCGAAATTTTGGTCAATGTTATACATTAACTCTATTGGGCGAGTTACGGTTCGGCGTAAACATCCGAATAATTGGCGTCCGAAAAATCCATCGGCGACCGTATCACCAAAAATCACCAAAACCCGACAAATTCCTCTATGTGTCTCACTGACATCCTTTGTTTGAAACTTCTAAACTAACTTGCTCCTGAATGCAGAATTGAAGCAGTTTTCGTCAACATAAAGTATGCGATAGACTTTGGATACCAGCTGCTCGTCTTAGATCTGATGTTTAGATGAGCTAAAAGTCATTCGTACAAACAATTCAGAAATGTTTGCGGCAACACAATGACTGAGACTCGTCTCAATTTAGCGTGTCTTCGCTTCCCCAATTAATCTTTCACGTCTCATGTTTAGTGCAATCTCAGATAATGTGCTTTAATACTTTGAGGTAACTTGTCCTCCTAAGTACCAATTTTATCGAAAGATGCCCTTAACAGTTTAAGATGAAGAACTGAAATCGAGGCAAAAAATAAATGACTGCGGGACACGCGAGGACTGAAATGCAGAAGATTCTAACACTTCTATTTTGCCCATTTCTTTTTGTTTTCAAACTCCCTCATGAACCCATCAAAGCTCGTCTACCTCGCTTCTTGAAACAATGAGACGGTACGGAAGTGTGAACAAATATTCCCCGTCAAGATAGTTATGGCTCAAACTGGATGAAAACATTAAAAGAAGTGTTTTATCATTTATTCTTCAGCAGCATTTGCAAGATACCTGAAATCTTATCACCCAATCAAGAATTCTGAAAGCTCATTAACACAACAATTTTCAGCCCAATCCCCCAACAAACAAACAGCCCGATGACACTAAAACAGGAGAAACCGGTGTGCATACCCTCGAAAGTGTCGTCTCCTTCCGTCATCAGTTCGTCGTCCGAGCAGATGTTCAGGACGTTGACCAACATTTCCGTCACTGCGCAGCGTGGTTTAGAAAAAGAATGACTAATTAGCAAACTCTAAAGTTCTGCAAAACATGTTGGCTAGATCAGTAGTTTGTAGCAAAAGGACTAGCACTTACTACATATATTGCAAGTTTTGCTCAAAGTTTTCTAGTCTCACTACGTACACTCATTGCAATAGCAGACAGTTAAAAGATGACCTGCTATAACCGAGCCATGCCGGCAATAGCAAGTAGTGAAATTTGCTTGAAGACAAAAAGCAGATTTTGAGCTTTTAGGAAGTTGCTTTTTGCAACTGTGAGAAAAGCTGGATGTTTGGGAATACGTGTGCTGTTGTGATACCCACAGCTTTCTTCAAAAAATGCCCACAAATGCAATAAACCTAGTTACCAGATGCAATGGCCATGTACAGAAAATGCCTATAAAAAGCAAAGCTTTCTTAGAAAGCTTGATCTATGCAATGTGTAACCCCCCTCAAAAGACCCCAACAAACCCATTTCGCAATAAACGATTGTGCCAGGCATGTCTCACGGTAGATTAGCTGAAGCAGGGAACGGGCAGAGGGTGTTTACCTTTTTCTCCCACAAAGGGGAGGGACCAAGTGAAGACATCCATGAAGTTGGGCAGCCAGTACGGGTGTGGCGAGCAGTTGAACTGCCGGATGTTCATCACATTGTTCTCGTACTTCAGCACAGCCGCTGTTCAGCGAAAAAAGAAGAAAACAGGGTCGAGCAAACGCTGCAGAAGGGAAGGAAAGTTTTCCATCTTTGTATATGTAAAAGGCTGGGAATAATGGCAGACACTGTGCCCGAAGACAAAAACTTCAGGGGAGAAACATTTCTGCTGAAGACAGCTCACTCAGGGCTGGTTCTAAAGTATGCAATGAAAACCTCGCAGCTCTGGAGCTTTCGCATTTAAGCAGGGCATTTACTATTCCATTTCTTTTCCCATAACTAACTCCAAACTGGTGTTAGCTGTGCAAACTAGACAGCAACATACGGAAGCTCCGAAGCCACATAGCAGGTTTTCATTGGTTTTCACGCACAGGTTACCATCTCTATGTGAAATCCCGACAATCGCTCCATTGCCCATACACTGAGATTGATTAATGACCCACATAGCCTATGGCATTTGATCACTGTATAAAGTCCTACTGAGGTGTGTAAGGGAAAACGTGAAAATTGAAAACCAAAAAATTGTGAAACAAATGCATTTCTAAAAAAAACACTTTTTTGTATTGTATATTTCATAAACTACTTCTCTGTAATTATCAGCACCTAATTCCCCCCAAAAATGGACTGCTTTTGACTCTGATAGATGTAAAGTGGTTCAAGTTTAATATATAGCTCCAGACAAACATCCTCCCCCCCCCCCCCCCCTCCGTCAGCCTGGCCACCCCTGCCATAAACTAAAGCCTACACAAAGGCCCGAGTAGCGCACAATCCTTTTGGACACGAAAGTTTGTTCGTTTCCTCTTCCTCAAATAATTGCCAAACATGAACCATTTATGATCCTACAAGATTACAGGTCTTTGTTCTTCTAATTCTTTTTCTTTTGCCTAGAAGACAGTTCCCAATCTGCATTTTCTTTCTGCATCTCATCTTTCTCATCTGCATTTTGAACACAACTTGTCCAAGTTGGCAAATGACGCACCGATGAGACAAACTGCCATGCTACCTACTGTAATATAAAAAATGAGAACTGACAAAATGGGCTGGTTTCAACAAGATTTAAGAATTCCACTCCTTGCATTATCTTCACCAGTTGTGGCTTCTTTGCACCCCCTCCCCCATCACTGAAAGCAACTATACAAAATGACATAAAAAACCATGCATATTTAAAAGACATTGACTACAGCTTTCAGAGATAAACAGACGCTGCAACAGAAATGTAATGACAGCAAGGTGACCTGTAGCCAATCCCAGGTCAGTACGCCACTGACACAGAGAGGGCAGCTCACCCTTGTTGTTGTAGACGTCCAGGTAGTTTGGTGCCGAGAATATGGTGATGAGCGACGGAAACCCTGTGGTCTGGCTCTTTCGGTACATCCTGTACCTGCAGGGTAGCACAAGACCGGAGAATGCTGCTCAGGTCCCGACTCACTGCTAGCATCCAGACAGCAAAAACAACGCACTTCACTCCCAAAGAAAAAAAAAACAACCTGCTAGGTTGGCGCACAAGAAAAGGATGGCCTGCCCAAATGACTCACGACGGCTTAGGAAGGAGAGGCAAGTCAAGACTTACCCTGCGTCCTGAGCCTCGTGGGCGCGAATGATGGACAGAAGGTTGTTCTGCTGGAGAAACTCACAACATGCTGCATAGCTGGAGGGAAAGCAAGTAAACGGGTCAGACAGCTCAGAACAGGGAGAGTGAACCGAATTTTGTGTGGAGGCTTCTTTGAAATCTTCACATAAAATCAAATTTGGGGGTTTTACGTGCTAAACTAACAAAGGGCATCTGGCACGCCGCAGCAGAGGACCAAGGATTCATCCCAACCACCCGGAGTGAGTTCTTTTGACATGCAATTAAAATCTTGGTTACACAACAACGCCTTCTCCACAATAAGCCTCCATCAGAAAGATTGCGGGCACCTCGGCCGGGATTCAAATGCGCCACTCGGGGACCTGTAGGCCGGCGCTTTGGCTCCGAGCCATTGAGGCTGCTAAGAAGGTCGGATGAGGCAACGCTGCAGCAGTCACTCACCTATAGAAATATGAGCAACCACGAACACTATTGTGACTAAAATGCTCCGCATTCTTCTCATTGCCGAAGTCTTCAAGTGGATCCGACCATAGCAGGTCGCACATGGGACCGAACGCTGGGGGCTCCTTGAACCTGTCCAGCTGCAAGGGAAACAAACATACTTTGTTGGTAGCTCGGCAGCTTTGGCAACAATCCCTCGCAATGACGTCTCAACATATCCCAACCCTCGTATTGCCCAGAATTATCTCCATTAACAAGAGATAACAGTCACGAATTGGAATCTATACTTCCTCATTTTTCAGCTCTGAACATTCAACCACAATCTACAGGAGTGGGACTGATTGCTTGGCAATAGTTGTCGCCAGCAAGCCTTCAAGGAGCTGGTGCAACTGAAGGGCTAGAAGCATTAAGACAGTATTGTCCAAAATAACTATGACAGTAAAGAAATGGCCATTTCTGAATGTCTCTGCCCTCAACACTATTAAAACAGGTTGAGGCTGCTTAAAAAAGAAATGAGAAAGTCTTATCCCATCACTCCTGACAGCCCTTTAGTAACATGTGAACTTAAGCATGGTGCCGACACATGCACTGTACCGTCTAGAAGTCTACCAGATGTGTTAGGGAGTTCCAGTATTCTACCAGATATTACAGACTTTGAGACAACTACAAATCTTGCGTGCACAAGATTTGCATGCAAAGTTGAAGACTGAATTTTTTTTCTGCTGCAGCATTACATGTTGTCAATGAAAAACTGTTCAAAGGGGAAAGTTCAAAACAATAAGGACAATGAAATACACAGAAAAAACTTTCAGCCTTTCCACTCTGGTGAAGAAGGAAGACCAGCGAAGCTGTACTATGGTCAGACGACCTCAAGGACGACTTCTTGGACGACCTCAAGGACGACGCCTAAGGACGACGTCTAGAACGACCTCAAGGACGATGTCTAGAATGACCTCAAGGACGATGTCTAGGACGACCTCAAGGAAGACGCATAGAGGACGACCTCAGGGACGACATCTAGACAGCCTCAAGGACGACGCCTAGGATGACCTCAGGGACGACGTCTAGGACGACCTCAAGGACGACTTCTAGGACAATTTCGAAGACAACGTCTAGGACGACCTCAAGGATGATGTTTAGGACGACCTCAAGGACGATGTTTAGGACGACCTGAAGAACGACGTTTAGGATGACCTGAAGAACGACGTTTAGGACAACCTCAAGGATGACGTTAAGGACGACTTCTAGAACGACGTCTAGAGAAATTCAGCCTTTCCACTCTGGTGAAAACTAAGAGTGGAAAGGCTGGAAAAGTTGTCGTCATCTATGAGCAAGGCCGGCAAGCCGATTGTCTGGTTGCCACCGTTACTCATAGAAGGCGGTAGCTGTCCCGAGTTTTGTGTTGACATTTCTTTACAGGGGGACACGATCCTGGGAAAACTAGCCCTTAACAGTTATGCTGTAAAAAGTGAGGCAACAAGTAGCATGAGGAGTTGCTTACATAGGCACTGCATGTTTGGCATTTCAGCATGCTATAGAGTGTGCTGAACTTCTAAAAGGCCACTTAAAGAGGCCCTGCAATCATATTTAAGCATCTACTTTTTTTTGTGGTTTCCACATCTCTTGGGGTTTGGGCAAGCCAGTGGGCATGGAGAGAGTAACTGAATATCAGTGAGTCATATTTTAACCGAACGGCGCGAAAACCTCCTCGACCTACGGGGGGGGGGGGGGGGGGACCCGCGCTATCGGAAGCGCGCGATATGCAACGTTCTTGGTCCTGGGCTTACTACTGGTCAGAGCCGCTAAAAGCTTCTTTTCAGTTGAAATACAAAATATAAGTGGCACGAACCATTTCAATTATTTATAAAAGTAGTTTTTCTTCAGCATTTTAGATCAGAAAAGAAACAAATGCAGTTTATAAAGTACGGAAACAAGAAATGACCCGTCGACATGCCCGCCACCAAGCGGTGGAAAAGGCGGCGCATACTTGAAAGGTGTAGTGGGATCAGGCGCCGACGACTGGCGAGCATAAAAAGGTCCCGGATGTATATGGCAGCGCTCCAGTCGAGGATCCGACCAGTTCCGAGTGTTCCCAAGGCCTTCGCGAGCAATTTGTCGTGCGGTGGCTCGCGTTGTGAACTGATCTTTACCTTGTGTTTGCTCTTGTTTGTGGCCAATGAAGTGTCATGGTGAATTAGTGTTTAATCACGCAATGCAAGCCGCCTTGGCTGCCCACTTCATACAGTTTATCGAGAACATGCTCTAGTGGTGCCCTCTTGAGCCGTCGACACGGAGTGTGGCTGCCGTGAGTGCTCGCTGAGCTCACTACCCCTTCTCTACTTCCCGACCGCTTTCCAACCACTCAAGCAACCGAGGACTTCACGAAAGAGGTTATTTTTTGCTTGTTTTTGTAATCCTAAATTGTCCATAACTTTTAAACTAAAGAGAAATTCATTAAGTTACTACGTTCAGTGGGCTCAGGTTCGGTGCAAATTAAAAGCAGTAAAAAAGCCCTTGCAGGGCCCCTTTAAAGTGGGGATACATAGCCCTAATGTCATTCTATAAAACAGAGTAAGGCCCACAGAAATTCCTTACCACTAAGCCTTTTAGCCCTTGTAAATAAACATTAAATTGGTTGACTCATTTGTCATTACATTTAAATAAACAATTTGAGACCCTTATTTGACAAAACCAATATTCAAAAAAGACACCTTCCAGAGGGAGAGGACACACGCACCTTCTTGATGTCGTCGAGGTTGTGTATCTCTGGAGAAAGGCCACCGTGCACACAAAGGAACTGCTGGTTCATCAGGGCAGCTAGAGGCAGGCAGTCAAACGCTTCCATGCATGCATCATACACTCGCTCCGAATACTTTATTTTACCTGCAACAGAGAGGGGGGGGGGGGGGGGGGAACATTGTTACGGCCTCTGTTTCCTCCAACCCATTTGCATGAAGAGCCCTTCCAAGCAGCCCACAGAAAGGGGTCCAACCGGTACGAATGCGACGAAGTGATTAAGGTCGACAACCGCACTCCATAATCCTAGTTGTTGTGCCAAGAACGAAAAACGGTCATCTAACTTAGGCCAATCAAACAAAGTTTGGATGCCAACTTATCTGCAAATCTCACCGTATGCCTTCCGAGAATTGAGCTTCATCGTTTTTGCTGCTAGCCTTTGAGCAATTATAACAAACAGAGTAAGCAATCTTATGCTTACATACTTAGGTCAGCCTCGAGTGAGTGAAATCTGCACATTGCTAACACACTAAGCAAGGATACATAAGATTGCAAAAAGTTCAAGATGTTGCTTCCAGCTGCTAACATCCTCCAACTGATAACATGCTTTGTTTTAACAGTCAACTTCGCTGGCACTGTCATTGCACTTACAATTGAAAACGAGCGTGTTGGTTAATAGATACAAAACTTGAAAGTATAAAACAGAGAGGACGAGGACGGGACCAGGACATCTTTCAAAAGATGTCCTGGTCCCGTCCTCGTCCTCTCTGTTTTTATACTTTCCAAGTTTTGTATTTGTGTCATCGCACAGATGTGTTGTTTGCAATGTTGCAATGCCACCTAACTAAGGACGAAGATATACTTGGGGCATGACAAACACCTCAAGAAACAATTCTGTGACGATAACTTACACCTGCATTTTCAAAATGAATGAACCACTAGGTATTAAAGGGGGGGGGGTGCAACGATTTTCGGATTTCGGTCAAAGATTTCTAGAAGTTGCCCTCTGACATTTCTGAAGTAAAGAACAGAAAACTGATTTCGCCTACGTGACCTAGTTGTTGCGTAAAAAAAAGATAAATATTGGCATTTCGGGCACCCCTCAACTCACTCCCAGCCTTCAGGGTCACACCTGGTCCCCCTCCTAGTGACGTCATTCGGAGTGCCGCGTAGGTTCCCATGTGCTATCTCGGAGGACGCTTCCCCTCCCTCTCTCTGCTGACATGAGCAGGCGTTATGCTGCAGCTTAGAGCCGAGAGAGGTCACATAATCTTTTCGCCGTAGTTCCCTCGGCAGCCACTTGGGGCTGCAGGTGGGGGAAAAAGCTAGACTTTTGCTTTGCAATTATGCAGCGGAATCACTAAATTTTTAATAAAGGAGGTATTTTCTTTATCCTCTGGGACACGATGAACAACGTAAAAATGAAGAGATGCAAATTCTTTTAATCATAAAATCGTTGCACCGCCCCTTTAGGCCAAATAACCCCTTAATTGTAATATATACCCACCAGCTCACAAAAAACTATAGGAAGTAAGAAATTTATTTCTTCGAACAAAAGATAAAACTGATTTGAATAATGAGGTTGCAAATCACAATAAGAAATGAAACCTTTCCAAAGTGAAATCGAGCTAGTCAACTAAAAAAAAGAAATTGAACAAGAAATTCCCAATTTTGTGTCCATTTTTAGCACAAACTGCTGAAAGTCCTTACGAGTGCCATGCTCTTTTTGTGGATAATTTGCTAAAGTACCCAAGCACCAAAGAGCATGCTGTGGGTGTAGTTACAAAACAATATGCTGGGATCTCCCGCAGTAACTCTTCTAAGCAAAAACCTAAAAAATGGCACTTTACATGTGTATTTGTTAATGCCTTATTTGGATTATTTGCTTGAAACCTTTTTCTTTCCCTAAAAAGGTGAGCGCACACGACACAAGCGCCTACATTCCTAGCAACCTCCTTGGCGCATGGGTAATTTGGCAAAAGGTAAACTTTAAAAACTGAAGCAATCCGGCAAATTATTAGATTAAAATTTGTCTATCCTCATCAATGTTTAAACCAGTCTACTTCTGAAAATGTTTTCCACACAGCCGAGTGAAACCTGCTTAAATGGCAACTTGCAAAATTGTTCTATGACTGGTAAAAGGCCTTTTTCCCTCCCCTCCATTACCTTTCCTGCTCTTCTTCCTCCTTACCCAAAAATAACATGTCTGGGAGCTAATCCCAGTGGAAAGAAGGGTTTTCCTCCTTTCTGATTGCACTTTGGGCTTTAAGTAAACTCTGGCTTCAAGATTTCCCAAGCTACACTCGCGAGACATTATGAAACATTTAAAATGACCATTCAGTCGGAAGAAACGGTAGGTGTACTTACATTCAGTTTTAAAGGTGAAGTACTCTGTTAAATGCCTACACTCGTGGTTCCCTCTTAGTAGAAACAGAGTTGTTGAATAGCAAATTTTTAGTGCCCACAGGTATAATACACACTGAAAAGAGAAAAAGCATCTCTCCACTCAATACAAGGGAAAACATTCATTGAATGGACGCTTGGATCCCAAAAAGATTTCAATCTAGGTGCCTTGGTTGGGCACGTATAACACAAAATAAAGTTTCCTAAAAAGATTGTAAATGTACTTTAGTACAACATTTACACTGCGGGGCTCATTTAGAGTAACAAGCTGTTCTAAAACATCCTTCCATTTTGAGATGTCGACTCCGAAATCAAGCAATTGGAATTGCACAAGCAAGTTTCTTACCAAAGATATTAAACTAAAATTTATTCTTGGGGGGAAAATTTGTGACACGTCATACGCAAATACTTTTTTCTAAAGGAGTTAGTGTTTTTTTTTTAAGTGACACGTCCGACACAGAAGCGGCAAGACATAAGCTTGTACAAATGCTTGACTACATAAAAACGCTACCTTCATAATCCACAACTATAATATTAAAACAATCTGAATGAAAGAAGTTTCTACGACGACTGTCAAATTCTCCTGCACACAGAGTTATGGTCAAGCTAATGCAACAAACACCCTACTCAATATAAGAAGTTGCATTCAAACATGCTGTCAGTGCAGCATTAATAAGATTTTTAAATAGAAATAGTGCTAGACAATGACCAACGCATGAAAGAAGTACCGCAGAGTGATGACTCTCAGCTCAAACTCCTTAAAAAACAAGATTGACATAAAAACGTAAATGCATATTTTTCTCAAACACAAGAGTTTGTGCCTTTAGGAATACTAGCTCCCTGTCAAACAAAGTCAAACAGGAAGCACTTGTATGCACCTTCTTTAGATCGTAAATGAAAATGCTGTAAACAACTTATTTTTTGCGAGAGTCTAATTTCCGTAAAATTCGTGAATGGAAGTATTTTACAAAAAATTTATCACGCGATTATCGCAAATGACTTGATTTTCACGAGGACCTAATTTTCTCGAATCGCCTACAATTCGCGAAAAACAGGTAAAATGTAAACACTTTGGAATGTGTTTACATTGTAAACACATTGGAATGTGTTTACGTCGCAAAAATTAGAACACACAACTTATTCCAAAACTTCAGGTTTGACCTAAGTCGCGAAATATTGAGCCTGCGAAAAATAAGTCAATTACAGTACATCACCACATGTTAACCAAAACACTGCATGTCACTCCAAATCACAAAATTTTGTGCCCGCAAAATGTTCTCGAAACCGACGATTCGCAAAATTCGCGAAATCTTCAGCCCACGAAAATGAAGTTGTTTATGGTATGCATCACTGCTCTCCCATCATTTGCTTAGGAACCCCCCCAAAAAAAGGATACAGCTACAGCTACTGCAATGGACTGCTCAGACGGGAAAGGATGTATCGCTAGAGCACGCCCTATGTTGTAAGGTGTGTGAATAGTGAAATTTTAGCTCTAATGAAATTCGAATCGAATGGTGCCAAATAGCGACCAGAAAGGCTATTGTCGAACTAAATATAAAATACCAATTTTTTTTATTTACAACACACAAAAACTAAAAAAAAAAAAGAAAGAAAAGCTGTGTAAGATGAAGAAACGAAGCCCTGTCTGTTTATTATTTTGCAGGGCACATAAAATAAAGAGTGGCTAGCGAAAAAAGAAAAAAAATCTATGTTAAGGGGTGATGGGGGTTGAGAAACAGCAATATTTAGCAAAAAAGAAAAATGTGATTTTGGGCTTTGTGGTGCTTTATTATTTTTGAATCTTTACATTTGATGTATAAAAATAATTAGTCTCGGTTATCATCGTGAAGTTAGTCAAATATGCATTTGAAGACCTCCAGGCGGTAACCCAGAACAGCATGAATGGGAGCCATTCTCCTCTGCGTGGCTCTTCAAGTTGTGACATCACCAGCCATCACATTTACGTTGACAAGTAGACCTAGCCATCTCCTCTCCACTGCAGTTTTCTGTAGCTTCGATTCTTCACGAAATTTATGAACAAAATATTTTCTGCACCTCAAAAGAATATAGCTGCATATCTATGGCAACATTCAAATGCGCTTTTCTTTTCATGTAATTTGAGGGCATCTTCACAGTTTGTGCGCAACAATTTCTGATCTTAATATTTTCCTATCACAACCAAATTTGGCATGCATAGATGTTCAAATGTGTAATACAACTATCTGGGTTTGATTAGAATGTGTATTTTTTTTTTTTTATATTTATAAAAAATTTAGGAAACATTTGTTAGCCCCTTGAAATGACATTTTTGCTATTTTTTATTATTTTAAAATGAAAGAAGTGTCGCACACATTATTCTTGTACAAATTCGTTTATTTTACTAGGCTTTTTTAAGTGTGTTGCCATACGTCACTTGTGCTGAAGAACATGTTTTTTTTTCTGCACGCACATTGCATCGAGAACCTAAAAACAAGCTATATCAAATCTAACACTAGATTTATAACGACAAGATTAAGCCAGCATAAACTGGAAAAACATTTCAATATCATAAATAATACTAAAAAAATTTCCCTGGCGCATGTCCCCTAAAACAGTGACATGCAGGGCTGGCCGGTTTTTATAGAGGGCATCCAGAAAGCTAGAAGCATGGCTGTTTCATTGTAAGTGTAAAAAAAAAAACACAGTGCAATCTCCACTTATAACGAAACCACATATAACGATGTACGGCTTATAACAATCAGTTTCTAAACTAGGAACAATCAGTTTTTAGTCCAGATACAACGATAATCGGTCATAATGATAACATTTTTGGGTTTTCTTATTATCGTTATAAGTGGATTGCACTGTACAAATTTTCTGTAGAAGTAGTTTGTCAGAAAAGGCTTTTCAGTGCACGCTTGATTTAGATCCAGCAGTGGCCTGCCAGGGCTATTTCATAATATGAACAGTGTTCCTGAATAAAACCAAATTTCTTTTCTATCAGTACTGATACTCGACGATCGAATTCCTAGAAAACACGAATACTAGGAATCTGAAAGTCTAATTTAATTATTCTATCGACAGATACCATTGGATGGAAATTCAAAACTCAAATATTTGCACATCCCTACTATGATGCTACTCTATACCAAACGTAACAACATTATTAATTTACCTACCGTAGAATACCGCGCATCTCCCCATTCCACATTAAGCACCCACTCCCAAATTTTTAAGATCTGAAAAATATATGCAGTACATTAGTATGCAAAATTGATGACCGAGCCAAGCGCCCATCCCCATTTTTTCGCAATTATTCCTAAATTTTGAGTGGGCGCTTGCCCGGTATTTCATTCCCAATGTCCCTTTTGACAATCTTGGGTCCTCAAGATGCTGCATCTTCTGGGCTCTTCCATGTATGCATGATAATGGTTGCTTGCAGCTGATACATGTCCTCGATTCCTTTGTGGTTGAAATACTGAGACTAACGCCCCGTCTTTGTCACGATAATGGTGTCGAAAATCGTGATACCTTAAATACTTGTCTGGCCTGGCATTCATCTAATGAGGCATTAAGTGACGAGAAGTCTCTGACCATAAAAAATTTGATGGGGCCTCGTTCGTCACAATGATTGATGCCTGCTAGAACTCCCAGTTTGATGTAGATGCTGTTTTTACACCTACTTTGGAGTTTCCTTTCAACTTGCTTGACTAGGAGACTGATACGCCATTCTAAAATGGAGTATGAAAAGACAAAACTGAACACAATGATCTGTTTCTGACAATAGTTTCACAAACTCTTTCCAAAAAAAAAAACAAAAAAACAGTAGCTCTTTTGACTGACACCCTGCCAGAAAAGACTACAGGACCATTACAATGCCAAGAGAAAAATTGTCTTTTGTCAGCTTTAACGCACGGCAGAATTCACTGAAGCTTTCAAAAAACACCGGCTTCCTCATGTTCACCTGCTCATTTCTTGCTGATCCAATGCACTCCTTAGAAGCAAAGCTCACTCAATCATTCTTGGGTGGTGCCAACTAATCAGTAATAAACACGGAAAATTTACAACCGCTGGACTATCAACTATATTAAAGCCTTCTTCCTTCACTACTCTCAGTATTTACAACCTAGATTGAAGCCCTCTTCTTCCGTATTTACAACCTGCATTAAAGCCTTCGTCCTCCTCTTCTACACCTGTTTACAAACATAGAGCTGCTTCGAGCCCTCCAGGATCCCCGCAGAAACAGTTTTTCTCACTTGTGCAGCGCCAAGGAAGGCGCACTGACATATTCATCTTCATGTTCATCGATGGCCAATGCTTCAAGGATTTCATGCGTAAGTTTTTTTTTGTTTTTTCCTAGAACCTTGATGTTTTTCAAACTTGGAGTGCACCGGCATTCTCAACAATGTACCAGTAGATGTCCCCCTGCTGATATATTCCTTGATGAAGCAGCATGTTCCCTTGTCCGGTCGTTGATGTAACGACCGGTTTGGCCTATGTAGCATCGACCGCATGATAATGGGATGTTATATACGACTCCTTTTTCACATGATCCATATTTTGTCCTGTGAGCAATGTCACAAACTTCTCCTTCAAATTCTCCCTCCTGGTTAACCCTGCGACACATAGAATATGCCTTATTCGGCGCAGAGCAAACCATGGACGCCTTGCCGTCCAGCAATCTTCACTCTGAGTGATGCCGCAGATATAAGGCACGATCACTATAGGCTTTCGTGTGTTTTCCTTTTTGTAAAAGCTTGGTCTGCTGGGCAAGTTGGTAATGAACATTCATATTGAAAATAGCGCAAAAAAGACGGGACAAAAAGATGAAGCACACAGGACAAGCGCTATTTCACATGATCCATATTTTGTCCTGTGTGCTTCATAGTCTTTTTGTCCCGTCTTTTTTGCGCTATTTTTAATATGAATGTATTTTTTTGTTTGGCAATTTTCTCCTCTCTCAATCACAATCATTTTCACTCAATCAATAGGATGTCTTCAACCCAGCAATGGGCAACTAATTTAAAGGTAGCATTGTCTGGCCAAACACTTCTGCAAAATCTTCCCTCTGCACTGGGGGCGTACTGACATAAAACA